TAGAACCAAGCACCAATAAGGCTTCGAAGATAAAGGCAATTATGAAAGGAAGGCTCACCTGGCCATAGCGCGACGAGGCGAGATGCACATTCCTGTTCTTCAAGAAATCGGGCCGCTTGCCCAGGCCATAGGCGCTCTTGTTCTGCGAGAGGAACTTCTTCGACCGGTCCAGACGCTCCGTGGACCCTGTGTCGGTCTCCTCATCCCTCTTGGATGTGGACGGGACCCCTCGGTACGCGCCCCTAGTCCCCCTGATGGTCTTCTCGGGACTCTTGTCCTGCTTCCGCGTGATAAGGTTATCCTTCCTCTGCTTCGTGCTCCTTACTGACACGTTCGACGCCATATTGTCCATACTACATCAAACGACCGTTGAACAGACTTCAGTCTCTAGTTCTGATCTTGTTACTCATTGTGATTGTGTAATCTCAATAATTGCCACTAAAAGCCTATCACAACTAAACCATAAATACGAATATATTAAACTCGCCAAATTCATCACAATCGCGTACCGTATTTAAAATAATATTTCGATAGATACATCTTTCAACTCTCAATCCCTTCCGGATAGGATATAATGGATAACTAAAAAAAATTAAAAATGGGTTATAAGCTATTCATTAATTACTATTTCGTAAATAAATAACTAGTTCCGTCTTTTGATTCTCTCTCACTGTTGGCATCCTCTAGTGACCATCCTGAACATTCTTTTCACTAACAAAAACCTTTTATATCTAAATAGTTACAGTCTTCAGGAATATTTTGGAAAGTTAATGCAGGATCGGATTCTTGTTTGATGTTATCTGGAACAATTAATTGTATTGTACATATAGTCCAACAGATCAGAAATTTAAAAGAACTAAAAATCTGAACATCAGTATGAAAAACATTTTTTAAAAATATTAATTTTGGTTCCAAATAATTATGCACTATTTGATCTTATTTAATTTTAATCTATCCAGTGACACTCCCACACAATAATTCCATCACAATTGCTTTAGACATTAAATACTTGCAAAGGAACATATGTACGAACAGATCAGAACACATATATACACACAGTACATACATCCAAACATGGATACAAGTCAGACATTACTATCCTTTTTTGGCTTTGCCAAATTCAGTTAAGAAACGTAATCTATGAACATAATATTTTTACATAAATGTCATATGATCGAAATATTTTTTTTTTTATTTGGAAAAACTGTCACAATTAAAGTAACTAATTTTTTTAAATCTTATTCTAAAAAATGGGGATATATCTAAGAGATGGATACATAAATGTAATCTGACATCTAAATCACCACCTGTTCACATATTTATCTCTTAAAATCAGAGTTGCAGAAGATAGATAGACTAAGATTAAGATCATAGTTATATAAATATATTCCGTCTATTTTTGTTTAGGCGGACAAGTGACATCTTTTGGTAATAAACATTGTTGGGAACATCTTCATCAATATTTTGAAGATAAACATTATTAGTATATCATTTAACATATCTTATAGCTCAAGTATCTTAATTAAATGCCTAATACCTAATTTTAAAACAAACTTCAATGCGAACTTCAAGAATATTTTTTACAAATGATAAGAAAGTTGTATATGATGATAGTTTAAGAAAATGACCGACACAATGCATTCACTACTTTCATTTTTTATTTATACAGAAGGTTTATGAATCTCATAATAATAATCTAATTAAGGATTAGCTAAAAATCTGTTTAATTTCTAAATCCCTTATAGAAGATTCTTAAAATTTTTAATTACACCGGCATCTAATGAGTGAGAAGTGAATCCAGTCTAATATCAATTATAATAATTAACATAATATGGCACATGTCAATACCCTGACCAATTATTTACAAAAAGACATCTACACAGATGACACAAGCATTAGAATAGCAAATAAGCTAATGCAAGTCTAAAAAGTATACAAAGATCTCACATATAGTGTTATGTAAGTATCAAAATATTGTTTTAGACTATACATAGTCCTTATTGTGATTTTTACTCTTGTATCATGGGATAGATTTTTGAGACAATGAAATGATTTTGATATTAAATTATTTACCAAGATTGAATTGAAATCTCAACCAAAATATTAAGTACATAAGATAAGATTTTACTATGATAAAAAAATCTGAAAATCCCAAAAATTGACTGACTTGTAAATAATAGGAGAAATGATTTTTTTAATCAAATTCAAAATATCCATTTTTATCTAATTTCACAATTTTATTATTTTATTATTAACCACCCACAATAATACTATCACTTTAAAAATCGTAATGGGTATTCCGTCCAGAATAACATACATTATCAGATCATTGTTAATGAACTTAAATGCTATACTAATGTGATAATAATGATCTAGGTAAACACTATAAATGTGACTCAATTTGCCATCAGCAAACTGCAAATAAATTTTGTTAAAAGCATTGTCTCTACAATGAATGTCTACTTGTTGCATTACTCAATAATAGTGATAATATTAAAACGGTACACCTAAATGATATTAATGAATAGTATAAATAAACAACATATGTACATATTGATATACAGAAAATTAATTGGATGATGTGCTATATCTCTTAAACATAAGTGGAATTTATAAATTCAATATTGTGGGGATACGTCGTAACTGATTGAAACAAAATAATACCAATCACGCATGTCGCATCGCAAGTGATTTTAAGGTTCAAATGACACGTAAGAAAATGAAGGACTGCTGTGGCACTACCAAAACAAGTTACTAACAGATCAATATGTGTTTGCCGTATTGAGAAAACAACACAAATGACACTCAATTAGCGAAATGTAGGTGCCGGCACCGAGAAAATGTAACACTAAAAATTACAGTATGCGGGTGTCATAAATTTCAAGACGTCTCCACAACGTCAGAGATCTAACCATTGCACTGACGATACATCGTGTTTTATTTAAAGATGTTCTAAAATCTACAGACATCGGCCGTATTATTGCACTTAGAATGGCGCATAGCTGAATCAAGCTGAATAAATAGAGTAAAAATCGCGTTGACAAGACGTCAAGCTTGCAAACAGAAAAATATTGATGAATATAATACCTGCGAATCCTCCAAGCCGAAAAGTAAACCTTTTAGTGCACACGAAACTCCTTACTTTAACAAAATTGATATTGGGTTCTATAAATACTTACAAATAAAAATCTGGAATCACACCATTGTTTTTTCTTCTGCACAATCAGTAAATCGATGTTGCTGCTTAAGAAAAAATTGTTACCATAAAAATGGGTCAACATTGATCACCACACATTTCTTTTTCACTTTCACTTTTTTGCTTAATACGTGTAACTTATTAAAATTATGTAAAACATACCAAAGTTTTTTGTATATTCTAAAAATCTATTTTACTTGCAACCAAATACACCAAACTTTGGGAACATAATTGAATTATTCGCGTATGTATTTTTGCATTAAAAATAACAGATTTATTTAAAACAGGTATCAAGTCATTATCATATGATATTAGAATAGTAGGAAAATAAATTATTTATACAATACTATGTACTTTTAATACAAATAATAATATCTCAGTGTTCATACGTTTCTATTTAAATGAATCGCTAGATAAATCAAGATAAGGTTTAAGAAAAACTAAGAGGAGTCAGAAATGCAAAAGGGAGGATAATTTACTAGTTTTGTTTAGCAATACTACGGTGAATTGCATATTATAGATGATATACTTTTCATACCGTTAAACCAATGCAATAGTAGCAACTTCACCAAATTGACCACACCCAACTTAAATGAAAAGTAGATTTGCGAAAACACATTTTTAAATTTCAAAAACTAATTTCAGCAATTGAACGCCACTGGGTGAAGTATCTTGTATCTTATATTAACTGATGTTTTTGCTTTCAGCCCAGAGACTATTAAAGCTTCATCTGACGCAGAACCGGTGGGCTAGCCAGAACCCACGGGTTTGGGCCCTCCGCTGTGGGTAGGGCCGCGCATGTGCTCATGCATGCGTTTAACTACGACTGCTGGGTTAGTAGTAGTTAGGTTCCATCTCAATGATTTGAAACCGACTACGTTGTTTGAATACCAGGACGTTGTAATTTAGAGAGTTGGAAGAACAAACTACTTGTATCCATTCTTTTTTAAAAGGAAGGCAATGCATTTACAACACTTTTGATGTTGCAAATATTAATCTGCAGCTAACGACTGGTCGAAGTGGAAGCAAATGGGGGAGGCCTATGTTCAGCAGTGGACGTCCTACGGCTGATATGATGATGATGAATGATCATTTAAATTTAGGTAAGGCACTAACTAATTTAAGAAAACACTTATTTCATACTTCAAGTTTCATGTGTGTAATTCGCTACACCTTACATTTCATAAGAATAATGTTATTAAAATATATTCTTAAATTGTGTGAAAATCGAACAACAACCGGCAATAGTATGAATTACCTCTATCATGGTTTTACAGAAGACCGGCAATAGTATTTATACGTTTTGTGAGGTTACCAGAAGAATTCCCTTAGTGATTAGCAACACGCTTGAAACACTTTTTACGTTTGAGTTTCTGGGTGGTATTTACAATCAGGTGATAAGTTACCATGAAATAAATAAAGACCCACAGTTTTTAAATGTTAAACTAAGGTATAATTAAATGTCAATTTTTATTTCAAAACCAAACCGATACCACACAATTCCACACAAACACACTAATACGTGAGATAATATATGATAAATTTAATATTTTTAGAGTTGATGTTATTAATTTAATAAGTTTATTTAAGTATTTCATAGATTTTATCTATGTTTTATTTAAAATAAAAAATTAAAAAAATTAAAATGAAGTTTGATAAAAAAGTAAACAGCTTCAATTGTTTATGATTTCCGAACACAAAGTAGTGATGTCGATTGTGTACTGTGTACATGGCATATTTTATTCAGTAGTTTTTTACGTAAATTATGAAATGAATAATTAAATTAATTAATTGTTATTAAAAGATGGCATTTGTGAGTGCTGTGACTGGCGATGACTCGACGAAGAAATTCATGGATGTCTTACAAAACGATTTCAAAACTTTAAGTTTGGAGACTAAAAAGAAATATCCCCAGATAAGAGAGGTTTTTTATTTGTTTCTTGTATTAATTGTATAATTTTATGTACAATAAAGATTTAAATATAAGTAGTTTGTTTTTAAAGGTATTCCTTATTTCTGACATATTCTTAACATTTTTTGTAATTGGTTTAATTCTTGCCAATTAGAAAATTAACATTTTCGCCGGAAAAGATTTCCAATAAGTAGACAATTTATGTCAATTTAAGTCTCTTGTTATGAGTAAATTGAAACTGAAAACTGTAAACTCTTAAATATTGATGTTTTGAAATAGCAATTATTTTGTGTTGTATCATTTTTTTGTTTTTAATATTTGCATATACATATACAAAATATGTTTATACTTGCAGGCCTGCGATGAAGCCATTGAGAAGTTGTCACTTGCCTCAAATAATCCTCAAGCTTCTTTATATGGAGTGGTTAATCAGATACTTTATCCGTTAGTACAAGGATGTGAATCAAAAGACATAAAAATTATTAAGGTAAGGACTAAAATCATGTGTACCCCAATTTGCATACAAAGGGTCGCTGCATGTTACAATTTTTTGTTTTTCCAAATCATTTAAATAAGATGACCTCAGATGTGAATAGAACTATTATTGTAACATGGTAGAATAACTTTTTGGGCCATACCTTTTCTTGGTCTTATATTTTATCTTTGAATCTTGTTAGCATTTTTAAAACAAAGTTTTAAAGTTTCTTAATTTTTAAATCTGCTGGTATGACATACATTTTGAAATGTAACAAGCATTTCCTAAATCAACATTATCAATCATATAACTTTGCATTAAATTTATATTTCATTCACATACATTTTGGCAATCTGTTTAGTTGTAGTGACCATAAAATATGATGCTTAGGCTGTTTTTTTAAATCACTCATGATCTTGGAGACACGTTATACTTGGGGGAGAAATGTTGGAAAAATGGTATATTGTTCCACTCTTTTACTGCGCCTATTTTGAAAAAAGTTACAGCAACTAGACGGTCTTTTGCTGTAACACACACAGGTGTGTGCTTATGAATTGGTTGTTTCCAGTTTAGTTTGACTAATGAGAACTTTGTATGAGTATGTTACATATCTCAGACAGTTAGACTGCATTTTTTTATGTAGGAAGTTTACAAGTGTGCTGGCGGTTCACCTGATTGATATGGACTGCCCATGGACATTTGCACCAATAGGTTTGCAGATGCATTACCACTATTTAATAACGGGTATCCTGGCTACCTCACTCACCAGACGAAACGCAGAAGTATAACACTTCAACTTCATGCTGGTCTTCTGTTAGGTTCTGGTTCTTATCTGGACAGACTTACCCACAGTGAGGACTGTTGCACTGATCCACCTTTGGTGGTTCTTGTAAATGTGTGGAAGTATTTTACTTTTTTGTTGCTGCCTTAGCTCAGAATTAATAATAAAGTTAAAGAATCCATTTTTTTTTAGTTTTGCTTAGGTACTATACAACGTTTAATAGCTCAACAAGGCATTGATGCGAAGGGAGCCCGACATGTAGTAGACTGCCTTTATAATCTGGGGCAAGCTGGAGTATTGGAGCTGAAACTTCTTCAGACTGCCGCTTTATTAATGACCACATCAGATCTTGTTCACGGAGACACATTAGCTAGGGTAAGTATTCTCTTATATTGTGATTTACTAATAAAGTCATTGAATTTTAAATGAGACTAAAAATGAAATGTTAATTTTATTGTAATCACAAATAGGTATTTAGTTTAAATTAAAAATTGTAACTTGACAGCAGTTAACACTTTTCACATAATACCATAATTTGTTTTGTTCTGTGCAAAAAATGGCAAAAAAAATGTCTGTTGTGTGGGAGAGCCACTTAAATATTTTTTTATTCTGTTTTTTAGTATTTGTTGTTATAGCGTCAACAGAAATGCATCATCTGTGAAAATTTCAACTGTCTAACTACCACTGTTCATGAGATACAGCCTGGTGACAGACGGACAGACAGCGAAGTTTGTAGTTATAAAGTTTATTAACTTTACCCAAAGGCTAAAACGGAACTCTAAAAATGACAGTGACGAAGTATAAACACCGAGACACCAGAAAAACATTATAAACAAACACTTTCCAACCGCGGGTCTCGAACCTACACTCTCCGGCGCGATGACAGTTTTACTATCCACTGCGCCTTCGAACCTGTGACACTCGAAGCTGCGGACCAACACACAAAGCTTCTGGTCCGTTCTCCTGATCGTGTCCGTTCGCCTGATCGTGTCCGTTCGCCTGATCGTGTCCCTTTGCGGCAGACGATGGTGATGTGCATGCGCACCGTGTCACCGGGCGAGGCGCGCGACGTGAGCACCAGCCACGCGGCCGCCGCCACCGTCCGCCAGCTGGTGGCGCTGGTGTTCGAGCGCGCGCTCGCCGAGACGGACGGTAAGGGGTGGCCGAAACGGACGGTCGTGGACGGTGACGCGTCAGGTCAGGCGCAGCAGTTTCTTTTTCTTATGTGAGAAAGTGGCAAACGAGCTGGCGGTTCACCTAATGTTGAGTGATAACCGCCGCCCGTGGGCGTTTGCGACACCCGTAGTGTTGCAGTTGCAGATGCGTCGCCACCTTTCAATAAAATCGGCCCCGGCTACCTCATTCACTATACGAAACGCAGAAGTGTAATATTTCTACTTCACGCCGGTCTTCTGTGAAGTCGTGGTACTAACCCGAACGGACCTGCCTATTCGTGCATCAGCGCACACTGTTGCGTTGTACTGCCAAGGTTAAAATTATTTGAGGAACACGCAAGTTCGCTCAGATGAGTGCAGCAAGTGGCAGGGGCGGGGCGAACCGCTCGCTCTGTCTCGCTCCCACGTTGGCGTACGGACACGCCAACCATCAAATTGGTATCGATGGTAACTAACGGTTTGACCTTAACCTCAACCCGAACTTTTATTTGAATTAGTAGCCGAAACGCTTCTTGGCGCTTAGCACCTGTGTTTGTGTTATATAGGTTGATTTTATAGACGACGGATATATTAACAGAGCATATGCAGAATTGGATTCTAAATCTGAATCTGGTGCGTAAATTTGACCTCATTTTTTTTTCAAAGATTATTTTTACTTTTTTGCAAACATTATGGACACCCTATTAGAAATTCCTGCCTTACGTCTCAATACAATAACCTAGTCGCTGATCTCACTATGCCGTTGCTGTTCACTGTTTGATTTTTTGCTCTCTGTAGTAGGGTGACCACTCTTAACGCGATAAAAAAACAATATTTGTAAATCTTAAAGTTTTTTATAGTGCTAATCTCTGCACATAAGATTGAAAATTAAAACATGTAGAAAAAGTACGAAAAGATTATCGCCGCTATGGGAATCGAACCCACGTCTTCGGCTATAAAAAATCAACCTGTATATGCACTCATGTGAAGGATTTAATCAGATAACCCATTGGCTGTCAAGCTGCGACCCTTCTGTCAAATCGGCTACCTGGTTTGAAAAGTGAAAGGTTTTCAATTAAGGGGATTTAGTCTTGATATGTATCTACATCGATTGGCAAATGCTGATGGTATCTTATCTTGTAATCATATCTTATCTTATACAAAATCACATGCAATACTAACTACACTAAATAGAATTTTAATGTGATGAGTAATAATCATTTAGGCACTTGATTAATGCTTAAATATGAAGATGAAATCATATACATAAAGATATTTTAAAAGTTGAAATTCAGTGAAACAGTCGTATCCATCGTCTGATTTGTAAGCTCTCTCATTTGTATTCAAATGTTTCTTATTTTTGAAATACTAGCTGCTTCCCGCGAGTACGTCTGCGAAGAATAGGCTGAAGGCGTAACATTCACACAGAAAGACATATATACATACAATATGTATATAAATCATAGCCTATGTCTTATTCTGATATATAAGCTGTATTATTGTAAAGTTTCATTAAAATCCATTCCGTAGTATTTGCGTGAAAGAGTAACAAACATCCATCCATACATACAAACTTTCGCCTTTATAATATTAGTGAGGATAGTGAGGATGTGATTTGTGGTAGGGCCACGCAGCAGCCTCGGCTGTTGCACGAATGGGCAGGCTCGTCCGGGGAAGTACCTCGACCTCGCAGAAGACCGGTGTGAATTGGATACTTTTTTTGGAAATATAATACTTTCGCGTTTCGGCTGGTGAGTAAGACAACCGGAGTCCAGTTTTTTAACGGCTGGCGAGGCATTTGCAACCCTTCAGGTGTATCAGAATGCCAATGGGCGGTGGAAATCAGTTCACCTTTTATGTTTGATGATTACGTAAAAGATACATATTTAAAAGATCAATCAACAACGATATTATCAGACCCATGTAACCAAACCAAATACCGTAATTCCCATCGTTACCAATGTATATATAAAACTGGATATGTCAAATAAATCGTCAACTATGTTATTTATTTTGTAATTTTCAATCTTACACCAATATATTGATTAATATGGGACTGAATTGCTCAAATAACTTCAGGCAAGCTGAAAGTGAACCCGGCGGACGTAAGGCTGCAGTCGAACACAAAAGCGCCCAAAGAACTCAAGCCCTGCGCGACTGACGCCTACCTTATATTACAAGTGAGTTACTTTCTTCTTGACAGTAATCTATTTCAGCGTTAAACCCACTCACATCGCAATCCACTTTTTTATGTGAAAAATTGCCGAGCGAGCAGGAGGTTCATCTGATGTTAAGTGAACACCGCCACCCATGGACATCTCCTACACTCGAGGGTTCCAGACGCGTTTACAACCTTTTGAAAATTGGGCTCCGGCCACCTCACTCACCCTGAACCGCGAAAGTATTTGTCATACTTCTACTTTACGCTGGTCTTCTGTGAGGTCGTGGTACTTACCCGGACGAGCCTGCCCATTCGTGCAACAGCCGAGGATGCTTCTTAGCCCTATTTGTCGTCTCCGACTGCGGCAAAAGATCTTATGAAGTACACCGTTAATTAAATACGAATATGGTATAGAATGTTAAAAGGTTAAAACCATTGATGCTTTCGTCTGTTCTTCGCAGGACATCATACAGCTGATAAACGGAGACTCCGCCCATTGGCTAGTGGGTATTTCGGAGGTGCCCAAGACCTTTGGCCTGGAACTCCTCGACACGGTCCTGACAGACTTCTCCGCGGTGTTTTTCAAAGTGAGCGAACACTCGTTTAAATGTATTTAATTTTAAAACTGTGCAGATAGAACTGTCAAAAATTATTTTGCCGCTGGCAGGACTCGAACCTGGACCTTCTGGATTACGCGTCGATAATATTTATATTGAACTAGCTGACCAGGCAAACGTTGTTTTGCCATATAAATTATTTGTAGGGTAGAAAAAAATGTTTGGGGTGGACCCCCCTTAACATTTAAAGAGATCCTCCTCCTAGAAATATCTCCATCCTGGCCGATATGCACACAAAATTTTCTCGAAAATCGGCCGTGCCGTTTCGGAGGAGTTCAATTACAATTTCATCTCTCAATTACAGATTCCCGAATTCAGATTCCTGCTGAAGGAACACGTATGCGCTCTCATAATAAGACTCTTCTCGCCGAATGTTAAATACAGGTAGATATTTGCTTTTTTTTAAATTAAAATCGACGTTTATTTATATATTGTAGCGTGCTTTTAATCAACTGTATTTGTACGGACCAAAAAACGTGTATTGATGGTGCATAAAATTATTCCATCGATGATGCATGGAAATTTAAACTGACCTGCGTACCGACCATCGATTTATGTAAAATAAATGCAAATTATTCAATTGGATTCAATGCAGTGTTAAGAATGGCAAACGAATGTGACACATTTAACAAATTTGAACTTTATGCTTATAGTCATAGAGTTGCATGATATAGTCCAAATTCGATTTGTCCTATGCATCCACTGCGATTAAGACCCTGTATGTTTTGACGCAGAGCAGTTTTCATATCGCGTCACCCTACACATTCCGTGGGCGGGCACTGGCACACTAATGAGACAGATTTTATAAATTGTAAAATACATGGAAATGATTCTGTTGAATTCAAACTGAATCGTAAACGAATAAGACAAATTTAAACAATTTGAATCTTATCCTTAGAAACATAGATTTGCAAGTAGTATAGTCCAAATTTAATTATTCCTATGCGTCCATTGCGATTTGTAAACTATTATCGAATGAGAAAGATTTATTATTATTCGAAGTTTATGCCTATAAGCATAGACTTGCAAGTAGTATAGTTCAAATTAATTTTTCCAATACGTACATTGGAATTTAGACACTATTTGTATCGGCTCAGGGCCGCTTCACATTCTGGGTGCGGGCACTGGCCAACGAAAGAGATCGATTTAATTAATTTGAACTTTACGCCTATAGCTGAACGTTGCAAATCACTATTTGCACTATTAACACTATAAATTACTATTTGTATAGCCCACATTAAATGTGTCCAATAGGTACACTGCGATTTAGACCCTATTTGTTTAGCCGCAGAGCCGTATTCACGTCGCTTCTCATTCCGGAGACTGGCAGCGGCGAATGAAATAGAAGATTTATTAAATTTTAACTTTATGTCTATAACTATAGAGTTGCAATTAGTATTGTCCAAATTAAATTTGTTCAATACGTACGATGCGAATTAGACCCTATTTGTATGTTGTCAGGGCCGCTTTCACGTCGCTGCACATTCCGGGGGCGGGCGCCGGCGCGGCGCCGGGCGCGGCCGGCAGCCCGGCGCCCGAGAGGCCGCACTTCCCCGTCACGATGCGCCTGCTGCGGCTCGTGTCCGTCATAGTGCATAAATATCACGAGGTCTTGGTGAGTGCGGTGCAAAAGCTGCTGAGCCTTAACGGTCGCCCAAGCGATTCGCGTATGTATCGCAGAAGCATCAGAAGTTTATTGTTACGACAGAGTATTGCCGTCTCTTTCGCACTGCTATGTAATTAGCTTTCCGTCTCGCTTGTTCCACACGGTCGCGTATTTTTCGTACAACGTTGTAAATCTATAATTATATCGAAATACATATATGAGTAGTTTTGAGAAATCATTACTGATGTTAGAGATTAAAGTTAATGGGATGAGGGATGGCACTTGATGCCTTGCGATGTTCTTTAAACAACACAACGTGAATCGCAGTTCCTATAATCAAACTAACCTAACTTTATCAAGATACCATTAAAATTAATATCGAATAAAAATATTTCCTTAAATAATTAATCTAAGTCTTTGTAATGAGTCTCGAAACAAAACTTTGAACGTCATAAATACTTTTGCGTGTATGTTTGTTGTTAGAACACTCATAACTATGTATTTCCAAACATATTACGAAGTTAAACACATATTTTTTTCGCAGGTAACGGAGTGCGAGATCTTTCTATCTTTGACCATAAAGTTCCTCGACCCGGACAAACCTCTGTGGCAACGGGCCTTGGCGCTTGAAGTACTCCACAAAATGACCATACAGCCCCGTGAGTCCATAATATATGTGATATATACTTAATAGAATACCAACCAAAATTTTGTAGCAGCAGTTTTGTGGGTCCGTATTCTTTGGTGACACCACATGTCCAAATAAAATAATCTTTTATAAATTACGCACGCTTTTCACGGAGAAATCTTTTATCTAAATTCTATATGTACCTTTTATAATTTATTATCTATCATACCTTAATTCGATGACATCGTTTAATATCAGGCAGGCGTAAAAAACCTAGCCAATGTAATTAACAACACTATTCACAATCATGTTGGGCCGACCAACCTAGCATGTATAATAATAAATATTACGGGACATTTTTACACAACGTTATCTAGTCCCAAACTAAGCAACGCTTGTACTATGGTACTAGATTACTGATAGACATACTTAAACATATTTTTTTTGAAATTTATATATATATACATGACCATAGTGTTTCTCTCTCTCTCTCTCTATATATATATATATATATATAGAAATATATATATAGAGAGAAACACTATGTTCATCACACAATATCTTTCCAATAGTCGGGATCTAACCCACACCCTCTGGCGCGAGAGACAGGGGCACTGTTCATTACGCTATATTCCCCTAGTAGCGATTCGACCCACACCCTCTGGTGCACGAGCCAGCGCCACCCACTATGCCAACCGCAATGTCTGCTTCAAGATCTGCTGAGGGCGTTCTGCGAGTGCTACGACATGAGGCCGCACGCGACCAACATATTCCAGGACATCGTGAACGCGCTAGGCGCTTACGTGCAGAGCCTCTTCGTCGCCTCCCAGGTCAACCAGCAAGTGGGTGAGTGACGGCATTCGGCTATAAGGGGCAGAGTTGCATATGTAATAGGCCTGGGCCATATAATAGGCCTGGGCCATATATAGGCCTGGGCCTGGTCTTCTACCGTCATGAATGTACAAGCTTCCTCCGTAGACAATTAGAGCTTCACTAGGGCCTAGTGGTCATCTATTACCCAATCGCATGATGTTTTCTTAGCACTTTTATATAGTTAGCACTCTTAATTAAAATCTAATGTTTACTGTATTGAAACAGCCTATACATATCCCACTGCTGGGCAAAGGACTCGTTTATTTAGAGGGTATTTGGGCAGAATCCATCACGCGACCCCACAGCTAACTGACAGCGAATATTCTTATGTTTTTATTGTTTTTTGTGTCCCGAGGTTTTCCTTCACCGCTAAGCACGTGATAAATCATCATTTATAATTGACATTTTCGTTGGTGTGGGATTTGATACTGTGATTGCTCGAGCGCAATGAATTAAAAGCGAGCTCATATTACTATGATTAGTAGTATATTGTTACGTGTTAGGGGTTCGAAGGATTTGGAGAGAAAGACCTGATGGCTCTTTTGAATACTTTATTCAAGCACTAGGTCCAACACAAAGCACTAGATCCAAACACTAAGCACTAACGATGTCCTATTTTGTAGCCAAGTCGTAGGTTTCACTGGTATCGCTCACTAGTTTTCGCTCCGAAGTCGCCTCGAAGGTAGCTCAAACTGAACTGTCATCGCTCGCCTCCCTGCGGCCTTTTATAGGGGCCGAGACCGGTTCCGGACTAATCCAGAAAGATCCTTCCTGGAACGTACCCGACACGTGCGAACATGTTCGTGATTCCGGAAAGTTCGCGAATGTACCCGGTTTTCGAGACTATAGTTCCACAGCAGTTCCTCTAACGCCATCTAGTGTTGAATAGGGGGTTTTATGTCGTCTTTGTTCTTTAGTGGTTTTAATAGTTGACGCTAGATGGTTGACGTTAGTTCCTTTGTGTGTTCATAACAATATTTTTAACCGACTTCAAATATACACACTAGTTACACACTATTTGACAATAGTTCATGTTCTTAATCAATGTGCCAGAGAAATTTCATTGGTATTGGATCTTGGGCTCCGGAGACACTTATAGAACTCCTGGAAATCAATTATGTAATGAATACAGAACGAGATATTACCAAGTCGGGTTTGTTTTTCGTTAGTAAAAAAATGGTTATTAACCAATGAGTTATATTTAATAACTACTAAAATGCAACTAAATTATGGACTTTGCGTCGCGCACGTGGTGCACCATGTCGCACTGCTCGTCGGTTTGAAGGCCCGAATAATCGATGTCCGGAACAACCAGCCCCTCGACTTGCATGGGTCTGTTGACGTCATCCGTTTGCACCCTCACCGCCGGATCCCCCCACACCTCAGCTTCGAACTCCTGAGCATCTATTTGCTCTTCGTAGAAACTCGCGCTCAGCCTTTCCAATCGACGACCCGATCGTTCTACGAAGTTCAAACGAGTTTTCCTCTTTAATAAATGCCCCGTCATATTTCCATGGCGAGCCCCAGGCTTAACAAAAGTAAAGTAAAGTAAACATAAGTAAAGTAACAGCCTATAAATGTCCCACTGTATGCCAAAGGCCTCCTCTGTACAGAGGGTTATTAGGGCATAGTCCAACACGCCGCCCCACTGCGGATTGGCGGACTTCACATATTTTCGAAATATTTTTTTTTGTTATTTCTAAAATATGCAGGTTTCCTCACGATGTTTTCCTTCACCGCCGAGCACGTGATAAGTCAGCACTTAAAATTAATAATTTCATTGGTGAGCGAATTCATTGATGAATTAGTGAGAAAGTGGCGTATTGGAAATGACGGCTAATAGAGGAAAGCGGAAGGAAATGACATTTGCATTTTGTGCCGATCATCTAGTGTGGGGTAAGGGCAGGAGAAGATTTTCTGTTTTTTTTTTCTAAATAAAAAAGCACTCGTCATACTTACCCAATTCGGTTCGGAGCCGCTTCGACTCGTCGCCACTTTCGGCCAGCGTCTGCGTGTAGATGTCGATGAAGGCGCGACAGACCCTCAGACAGGTGGCGTACGTCGGGAAGCGGTTGGACCTCGAGGACATCAAGCAGCCCAGGCGCTCACTGAAACCGTCGAATGCAATATTGAATGGGTCGTCAAAACACCGCGACGTACCAATAAAACTGTCCTACGGTCCTTCTTCACTACATAGTATAGAACAAAGTCGTGCCGCTGTCTGTCCCTATGAACGCTTAGATCTTTAAAAACAACGCAACGGATCTTGATGCGGTTTCTTCTCCTAGATAGAGTGGATTTAAGAGGAAGGTTTATTATGTGTAACACATTGCACCGCTGCGAAGCCGGGGCGGGTCGCTAGTCTAAAATATCTATCTAAATCTCTAAATATCTATCTAAAAACTCTATCTAAATAATTCTACACGTAAGAAACTAAATAATAGATAGGTTTGCAAATCCGTTGCAGAAGCCAGACGAAACGTAGAAGTGTAACACTCCCACTTCACGCAAATATTCATTTCTTAAGTAAATATCGTAAATAACAATAGCTAATAAATTTGTAAAAATTGTCAAAGAACGTTTGTGTGTTAAAAATTATAAAATTAATTACTATTTAAATGACAGCACACACTGGTAATTAATTGATCATTCTAGGCTCTTTCAATCGGACTTTTTGTATTATATTCAATATATTCATGTCATATTCATTGTGTATGTGGAAAAAAAAGGAAATAAAGTTTCTTTCGCAGTTTCTTCTCAGGTCGATGTCTTTCTTTTCCGAACTGGTGGTAGTATTTTGACTATCAATAAGTGAATGTTATGCTTCCATATTGAATAAAAATATATGAATTCGAAATAAACCCACGTGCAGTTCTGCGAGAAGAAGTCAAACGTCCAAACGGGACTGACGGGCTCAGCGCACACGCCGGGCGTGAAACGTCGAGTGCATCGCATGTTAAGTTTCTGTCGGCGAACTGCACAAAGATACAATATCTATACTTATTATGTATATTGTTCATTTTATGTGAGAGTATCAAGTGACGTTAAGTGATAAGTACTGTCCATCGACGTTTGCAAAACCTTTTTATTAACGTGAAAAATTGTTTCGCCAACTGGCGGTTTACCTGATTTTAAGTGATGACCGCCGCCTATGAACATTTACAACACATTAGGGTTTGCAGATACGTTGACAAACGTTAAGAAAGCGGGCCCCGGTTACCTCAAACACTATACGAAACGCGAAAGTTGTATACTTTCACTTCGCACTGGTCTTCTGTGAGGCCGTGGTGCTTCTCCGGACGTGTCTGCCCATTCGTGCAACAGCAGAAGCTGTCGCGTGGCCCTACCACACTAAAACCTGTAAGGTGGTAGCTGTTGCGATTCTCTAAAAGAGTGGGCTCCGATGACGTCACTATGATGACTAAAAGAGTGGGCACCACACGGAACGTTACCGTTTATAAATATAACATAATAAATATGCTTTATTCTCTTAGCTTTTCTTCTTCTTCTCCAGAGTGTTCGCCCACCGTTGGGCATACGTCTTAGCTCTTATCGAACGTCAAAGTTTTAACATCATTTATTAACTGTCAATTCCAGTTTGTTTACGTATGGCGTCTTGTTAATAACATTTAAGTTAACTAATTGAAGCCTTTGGTGTTGTTTGGTTGATTTTGATGATCAATCTTTGTCACAGCACTTAACTTCTAATATCGGAGAATTGTATCAACTCCACGCCTGGTTATAAGCCATGGAGTTTATGTTTAAGGGTTTTATGTAATTGTATTATAAGAATTACTCACCCAACACTGGTTTAGCAGCTTGCGATATAATACAATGCTTTAACAAGCATAAAAATAGTAAATGTCGGTAAAACTTGTTCAGTTTGATCCAGATCATTTGTTATGTCACATAATTATCATGGCTTAATAGATAAACAATAATTTACTTTTAAACGAAATTATGCATCGAATTTTGACCTGTTTAATTCAATCAAAAATTCTTGTAGTTTTCAGTTTCTAAGCGATAGACTCGCTCACGCGGATCGTGCGTTCTATTCCCATCCGGATAAGTAATTATTGTATGACATATTATACATATTATTATTCCGGATCTGGTTGTTTGTCCTCGCTTAATTAGTGTTTGTTCATCTACAAGATAAAACTATGTTATAGAGTAGGTTATTCTTTATTTTAATAGAAATTAAAATAATGCTTATCAGTTTCGTTTGATTTAAATGTTGTATTTACTCATTTATAGCATCGGCTGGAATTCCGCAACAAGCAGGATTCTATTGGAAGGGTGTTTGGCTCCCGTTGTGCGTTACATTTGAACCTGGGACCGCTAAGTCTATTTAGTAAGTTATTTAAATCAAATAATTCTAAAGATTCATCTAGGTGCGATTTATAATTATGACAATTCATTAAGCCCTGAATTACAAATTTTGGTAATATTTTGTCTTGCAAGAAAAGGAGACTCTTATTAAGGTAATCTGGGGCAATAACATGTCTTAGATTAAATTAAAATTAGATTAGATTGTAAATGGTTAATGTGTAGTCATAATTCTCTTTTTAAATTAATAACAATTGTAATTATTAATCTGACTTTTTTTTAATTGGAACTGATATATAACATTCATCATTCAAAAAATCCGGTTGGAAGGACCAAACCGCCGAAGTCAAGAAATGTATAAAATAAACTCCATCGATTAACATATTAAAAGTTTATTAATGTTCAATATGTAGTACAAAATGTGTTTAATTTTTGCAGTATTGAGATGTTGGACAGAAGCGAGGCGCCAACGATACAAGAGGGCTACGGCATCTCCGTGGCATACGCGTGTCTCATGGAGATCATAAGATCCATAGCGATTAGTGTGGAAGGCGACGAATACTTCAGGTGACCTATTTAGTTCCGTTTATTGTGAATTAGTCCACTATTTGTAGTTAGCTATTTTGTGTAAATAAAGTATTTATCATGTTAAATTACATTCAATATGATAAATAGATGAGTCCGTGGCGCAGGTGCCAAGGTATTGGCTTCGGCGTCAGCGATCGTGGGATCGATAAAAACATGGGACAACTATTTGTGGACCCACAGATATTTGTTTCACATCTGGGTGAAATTTATGTTTTAAAAAAAATCAAACATTTGTAGAGTTATATCTAATAGTTTTTTGAAAGATTCGCGTTTGATGGATGTTGTTGGACACTAGCTACCTTTACTTTTGATCTTACAATAAATTTAAAAAAATTTACATAATTAATAGACATAATTACAACATTAGACATAATACATTGTCATATTAACTATTGATTTTTACTGTATTTTCCTTTCCAAATTGATAATCAATGTTTCAGGCTTCAAGAACTATACGAGGACGTGCAGAACGACGGCGAGGAGGTCAATTCGAACAAAACGGGAAATAATAATAAAGGTATAGTAGGATAAAGAGCCCTCTTTTTAGACCCTGAAGAAAGTATAAATCTATCGAAATGTATCGAAATGTAGACCCAAAAGTAAAAGTAAAGTAACAGCCTATATATGTCGCCTTCACCTTCTTTGGCGCATAGTCCACGACGCGACTCCACTTTTCACTTCACTTTCATGTATCTTGGAAATATTTCATTTGCTATTTTCTCCAAAGTGTGCAAGTAAGTATCACGTTTTTCTTCACTGCTGAACACCCAAAACCCGGTGTGTTACATAGTGTGATCTTAATTTAGAGACGGAAATTAGTTCGGACACCAAAGAGATATCGAACAACGGGCACGGTGCGGCAGATCAGAACTCGAACGTGGTGGAGAAAATCAATCCCGAAATCGAGGAGAAGGAGAGGCTTTTGAACTTGCAGGTACTTTGACAAGTTGGTACTTGTGTAGTGTTATTGTTAGTATTGAATAAATATTCTAATTTTAAATTAAACTTGTAGCGGATAGAGATGATGACGTGAGTCAATATTATTTTCCTCGTTTAATCATGGTGGCTGACTAGTGACGTCTGTTAACCCTTTTTTATCTATTATTTTCCTTGTTGGTGATGTTCCTTTCATGGTTTCTGTATAATGACGTCTGGTAATAACTTTTTTCTTTAAAATTGCCCCTACTTAAGTATAACATTATCCTGTGTTGTAAGGAGGTTTAACAAACATAAATTTGACGTGGACCCAGATGCAAAACAATTATCTGTGAGTCACAAAAATAGTTGTCTCGTGTGGAAATTGAACCCACGACCCCCGACGCCGAAGTCAATACCTTGGCAACTGCAGCACTGAGCCAATAAATTTTAACGTTACGAAAATGTTATAATTCATTTTATTTTTCATTTTATAGAGGTATTGAAACACTTTTATCATAATTATTTTGCCATATTTTTTTAAAACTTTCAAAGGTTATAAAGTCATCGTGGTGCGGCCTCGTATGGGGCCTATCGGTGTTGGCCGAAGCTAGCATGGGAGAGCTGGAGAACATTCTCTGTGCCATTCAGACCTTGGCCAGGGTTAGCGGAAAGGTATATATTGATCTTTACCTTTGGTTTCGACTATGTGATTTTTTTTTATTAAGAATCAACTCTCTTAGATATAAAAGTGTAGTAAAGTCACAGCCTGTATATGTTCCACTGCTGGGCAAAGGCGTTCTCTGTAAAGAAGTATTAAGGCGTGGTCTACTACAGTTGCTTAGTTTGGAAATAGGTAGCGCTGTGTAAAAGTATGTCCCGAAATATTTATTATTATTATTAATATAATAATGTTCGTGATTATTGATTATAACATAGTGTAGAATGCGTCCTAAACATTTAAAACGCCTGTGCGTGTGTGTGCGCCGTCTGATCATAAGCATTTACAGTGTTATTGACCGTAGAATGCGTCCGAAACCTTTTCAACGCCTGTGCATGTGTGTGCGCCGTTTGATGATAAGCGTTTAGAATGTCCTTGCGTGTGTACGCAGCCTGACTCACACACGCACAGCGGAGACTGCGTCCTAAACGTTGACAATGTCCGCGGGTGTGTGTGCGCCTCTGATCATAAGCCATTTACGGTGCCCTTGCGTGTGTGCGCGTCCGCACACAGTCGTGTAGATGCCGCGTAAACATGTTGAATTTCCGTGCGTGTGCGCGCCAGGTGGGCGTGTGCGGGGCGCGCGACGCGTGCGTGGGCGCGCTGTGCCGCGCAGCGCTGCCGGCGCAGTACTGCGTGCCGGTGCTGGGCGCGCTGGGGGCGCTGGCCTGCCCCTGGGCGCCGGCCGCCCGCGCGCCCCACCCGCCCGCGCCCGACCTGCGCCACCACGTGGTCTGGGTGGGCACGCCGCTGCCCTGCGCCCAGGTGCCCACAGGTGCGCGCGGTGTGCCATCACGGCGAATACGTGACAAACATAAAAACGAGGGCATTGCACGGAACGTAAATTAATATTGCGAAAGTTGAAATATATGGAAACATCACAAAAAAATAAGACATCAAAATGTATATAGCAGCGATAAAACTTAGAAAAAATTGCGCGTGCAACGCTGTTCTATTGGATAAAATTTTACAAAAGCGTTTTGTAAAAAGTTTTCTAAGTCATACAAAGATGATAAATTTTAATTACAAAAACAACTCAGTGACAAATGTACACACACTCAAAATATCTTTTTCCACTTTGTATTAACTATATACGTCGCTTTCATTCTTTCCACTTTTATGTCTTTCCTTCTCTCTCGTGTAACGAAAAATGCCTAAAACTGACGAAGCCCTGAAATTGCACTCCTGTTTCTCGTCCAACGTTTCACGGTAAAAATCGAACAGAAACACAACACACTATGTTCCCATGGCAGGCCAACAGCAGTCGTTCGTGATGGTGACGTCACGCCACGTGACCGCCATGAAGGCGCTGCTGAACGCCGCCCGCCGCGACGGAGACACCATCCAGCAGGCCTGGCTGCCGGTCCTCACCACGTTGCAGCACCTGGTGAGCTTGCGAGCTAGTTAATATCATATCGAATTGTAAGTTTTTGTTTATGTGAAAAGTTGTCAAGCGAGCAGACGGTTCGGTTCACCTGATGTTAAGTGAATACCGCCGCCCATGGACATCTGCTATATACGAGGGTTCTAGATTTAAACAACCTTTTGAAAATTGGACTCCGCCCCCTCATTCACCGGAAGTGTTATACCGAAAGTATTATACTTTCGCTTTACGCCGGTCTTCTGTGAGGTACTAACCCGGACTAGCCTGCCCATTCGTGCAACAGCCGAGTATGCTGCGTGGCCCTACCGCAGTTAGGGTAAGTCCAGCATGTTTTATCTTTTTTAACATTGGCCCCTATTGTAGGTTAACATTATCCTGTGTTGTGAGGGCATTTACATACATAAACTTCACGTGGACATACAACCAAGTCCAAAACAATTATCCATGGGTCACATAAATAGTTGTCCCGTGTGGGAATCGAACCCACGACCCCTGTCGCTGAACTGCGCCACGGGGTCATCACATGTCTAGCATCATTTTATAGTCATCATATACCTAGGAAATGTTAACTGCCACTGACCACGCAACAGTCTTCGCTGTTACACGAATGGGCAGGTCCATCCGGCTATCACGACCTCACAGAAAACCGGCGTGAAGTAGACGTGATATACTTCTGCGTTTCGTCTGATGAGTGAGGTGTCCGGAGCCCACTTTATTAAAAGGTGGTAACGCATCTGCAACCCTACGGAGGGTGGTTGCATATGTCCATGGGCGGCGGTTATCATTTAAGGTGAACCGCCGGATCGCCTGCCACCGTCTCACATAAAAAATGCAATATCTGATTCCTGGTCGTTAGCTGTATTTTCTTACATAAAATACATCCATGGTTGCTTCTTGTAGATTGACTATCGTAGTTTTAAACGTAGGCGATTTTTTTTTCTTGTATTATAAATGAAACTAATTTTTACGGATTTATCGCGTTTATTTTTAATTTTAGTTCCCGACGTTTCGAACCCTTTACAGCGTTCATGGTCACGGGACAGACTGAGGTGTTAGAAGTCTGATTGTCAAAGTTAACCCGGGCTACCGTCAGTTTGACAATCAGTCGATTTTTGATAACGTAATTCGATGTTGCCAGGTGTGGATCCTGGGTCTGAAGCCGTCGACAGGGGGCAGCATGAAGGCGAGCCGAGCCAGCGCCGATGCCAACGCAGTCATGAGCACCTCCGCCGTCATGGCGGACCTGCCTGGTAACTGCTAGCGCAGATCTCTATGATCGTCCAAAATCTGGTCCTTGTAACCGGATAAAGCTATCTATGTAGACCATGCACTGCCATATTCGCATCATGGACAACCTGGCTTGTGATCTATTAAGATGTTTGGACCATAAGAGCATCACAGTTCTGATCCTTCTTAACCAGATAAAGTTAAATTTGCATCATATTTATCGTAAGAAATGCTTATTCTCATAACACTTTTCTTTTGTTCAAAACAATAAAATGAGAAGATTGGAATTCCCAAACCAATTGTTAATGTATTGAATAAATGTTTTTCTCCGCTAGGATTCCAATCTGAGACTTCTGTGTTGTAAGCAGACATTTTATATGATAAGCTCTTATGACATATAAACTAGCTTTTACGCAATTAAAACTTCTGCTGTGATCTTAGAACGAAATAGATGATATTTCCTATTTATGTGTTTTTAGGATTTACTGTTTATTATTATTTCTAAATGATAATTATTTTATCATTTCCAATTCATTTAAGTTTTACAAAACATGTCGAGTAAAAATCGGAAGTACTTATTAAATGATTAAATATTACCATAAGAAATAACGAAAAAAGTATCATGTAAAAATGTTCGAAATTAAATAATATAATACTTTGTATTCTTTTAAAACATTATCAAGCATTCGTAAGAATAACGAAATTAACCACCCACGTTCAAAAAACTTTAAGTTCTTCATCGAGTCTGATGAATATGGAATCGTCACCGCCAATTATTATTGAAACGCGGTTTGTAGAAGTTTCTAGAATAAGTCTTGTACTGAACGTTATTTACAGGTCAGCAAGTTCCGGTGGCAGAGTCCCTCGGAGTAATGAGCGGTATACTAGTGATATAGTCATACATACATATCAGTTTATTTGGAGTCGTAATTTTAGAAATATAAATATCTTGGTACATGTAACCATTAGTCGATCAACACACTTACTGCAATACATCATTCCTTTCAAATAGATTAAACAGCAATCAATTTTTAATTGTAAATGTTAAACAAATAGCGAAATTCGTCATATTATTGTCATTCCTGTAATATTTATAACTTACTTACCATTTTTCGATATTGTGTAAATTGCATAATGTTATTAAATTTTGTGTCGAACCGATGAATTACGATTCAAAATGGACAACTGAAAACGCCGCTTAAGTGTTTAATGTCGGCGATTGCTGTTGCAAAGTCGACTTTATACGTATGTACTGAAGTCATGTTTTGCGATGCTTCAAAGCGCTCGAGTGATGCAAAGGGTTTATAAAGCTTTTGTCTGTCAACCGCACTGGGATGGAGCTTGCTGGCCGTACTTGTTTATTTGATATTTAGTTCACATTACGCACTTCAGATTACTGTATACAATTGCACAAGACAACTGACCAGGGAATATGGGGTATTTTTAAAGTATATAGACAACAAAAATTTAAATTGTTTATAGTGCTAATCTTTGCACTTAAGATTGAACATTAAAATATGTAGAAAAAGTGGATATAAGAATATATGGCGCCAAGCATTGCTTCAAATGCTAAGAAAACAATGTGGAGGAATGCGTTAAGATTTTCGTCGGTGTGGTAATCAGCCGTTTAGCTCAGTGGCTAGAGCGTCAGGCCGCGAATGCCGAAGACGTGGGTTCGATTCCCACAACGGCGACAATCTTTTCGCACTTTTTCTACATATTTTAATATATAGACAACATTTATGTAACAGTTCGATAAAAGGAGATCAACCGTTCAGTGTTCAGTGAGTTTCAAGACCCTGTTGGTGTCATAAGGTCTTGGGCTAGATTCAGCCCTGGAAGTATTACCAACTGTTGAAAAAAATACTCCTAAAGCAATTCAAAAATTCACTTAAATTCACAAAATTCAAACCAAAACTACCCAAACGAGAAACTTTTAGGAAGTTTCGCTTGGAATTTAACTCCTGAAAAACTTCCATTGTAATATTTTTACTAAATTTTGGAATTAAAAATGTATAATGATTAAAATTTCTAAGTTGGCATCCGTGCCTGAAATAAGTATTTTGTATGATATATGGTTGTTAGCAACAGGACTAATAGCCAAATTCAGTTAATAGGTAATGTTTCAAAATAAATAAGTAATAGAATAAAAAGTTTTCCTTTTGGGAAACAGTACCAAAGCAATACTGTTTTAACATTATTATATACATTATTTTTGTTGTTAAAAAATATGCCATAACTCTCTAACTACATATATCTTATGTTGTGTCAGTTGAACAGGTTATAATGCACGAGCAACAAGGGAATGCTTTTAAATATACACAGATATTCATATATATTTATTATAAATAAGTATTTAATTCGTTAATCCATCAATGGCAGAGAAAATACTAATGGTTTCTGCTCAAACAGTGTTGGTAAGTCCCAACAGCCACCGAGACATAGAAGATAGATTGTAGTCATATTATATTGTTTTTATTAAAAATGTAAATGAAAAGGAAAATCCCGGAATAAAGTGATACACTTTATATTAAACCTTAAACCGTTTTACAAGTTATATGCTTAATAGTTTTCTTTGGATTTGGGCCCGAAAGTAAACTTTTTTAAATTAATATCTCTGTTCAGTATTTAAATTTTCATCGCCCCACAAGATAAGTTTTAGGTTTTTGAAGATATTATATAAGTATATATTTTCTTTAATTTATATTATTTTTGAAATTTTATTATTGTTATTACGACCTTTATTTGGTATCGGTTTGTCAATTGTTACTTTATTATGGGAGAAGGTAACCGAGCAGGTGGTTCGACTGACGCATAAACATCACCAACCTTTATAGAGTGGACCCACGCGGCTACCACGCACCCTAATTGAAACTCGAAAGTATAATACTTCCAGTTTAGGCCGGTCTTCTGCCGGTCTCTGCCACGGACACCACAGTGAGAAACTATTGCAACTATTGCAATTTTCATAATTGCAACCGGGAGCGAAGAGTTTGCAGCTAATTCTGTAATTTTCAGCCCTATCGGCGATGCTCTCGAGGGTTTTCGAGTCGTCCAAGAATCTTGACGACGAGGCCTTACACCACCTTATCGAAGCCCTCTGCAAACTCTCCAACGAAGCGATGGAGTTGGCTTACTCCAACAGAGTGAGTTACTTTAATATGTGCACGTTTATGTGAAGGTATACGGAGATTTTTTTTTAGTAAGGCGACGAATGAAACCGCCATGCACGGCAGTTGAGAATAAATCTTGCAGTCATTATTTTTCCGGATTTTAGGGGTAATAAATTACGTGTTCTAATTTAATCCTCCTAAAATCGGAAAGATTAACACATTACACATTTGTGTAAGAAAAACCCGCCTTGAGGGGTAGAGCGCATGTACGCGTAATGCGCAGGTTCGAGTCCTGCCAATCAAGGGTTTTATCTATAAATATATTTTGTAATTTCGTAAAGAGCAATGTTTAAATGAAAATTGCAACGATATCTTGATTTAATTACAGGAGCCGTCCCTGTTTGCCGTGGCAAAGCTATTGGAGACGGGATTGGCCAATATGCACCGGATCGAAGTTATGTGGAGGCCAATCACGAACCACCTGTTAGAGGTGGGCTTGATTTATCTTATTGAACAACATCGTCTTTGGTCGGTGGCGCAGTGGCCAAGATGTTGGTTTTGACGCCGGGGGTTGTGGGTTCGATTTTCGATACCCGCATGCAACAAGTATTTGTGTTAACATCAGATAATTGTTTCGTATATTCGTAGAGTTCATATCCTCCTAGGGTTAACGTCAGACGGGCGGCCTGCATGTTGTGCCGACCCCTTAGATGGGACAAAGGCAGGAGAAATTTGAGTTGAATGATAACACGCAGTAGAAATTAAATGAGCGCCCCAGGCTCTTTCAAGTGGAATCTAATAATTCGTACACGTGTTCGTTATTTTTTTTATCAAATTGCGTTAAAAAAAGAAGATGTCCCGCTGAGTTTCTTTCGCCGGTTCTTCTCAAGTCCGTGGCTTTTTTTTCCGAATCGGTAGTAGTGTTTTTAGACAATTTATAAGTAAATATAATGCTTATTTATTGAATAAATATATTTGAATGAATGAATTAGAAATAATAATATTCTATGTTTTTCAATGTCAACTTTCTTTTTATGAGCGATTTCCCGTGTTGTCCTAGAACATTACCTTTTTTGATTTCATAACTCAAAATTGTTATCTAATTTACCAATCACTTTGTAAATTAGCAAATCAGTAGCGAACATTTTATTCCTGCAGTCGAATTGCATCAACAGCGGAAAGAGGAATTCGATAAGTAGTGATTGTAAAACAACTTGTTTCGACCATATATTTATGACCTCGCGCAATTACATACGTAACTTAACACGTCTAGATGAGGTGGCTGAACGAATAGTTTTGAGTCTGCAACTCAGCATAGAAAGATAGATGTGGTATTGATCTTCGTTAAAACAAATGACATATTCCGTGTCTGCAGGTGTGCCAGCATCCGCATATACGAATGCGCGAGTGGGGAGTGGAAGCCATCACATACCTCGTGCAGGCGGCATTCCAGTACCACCACAACAATCCGGCGCTTATTACTGAAGTAAGTGCTCTTACTGAGAAATACATCTATACGGTAAGTGAACCGTGAATACGTAACCGTAATAAGTGATACGTCGTGTTTAATTTTTTCTATCGTTTTAGTTTTGGTGCTAGAATAAGCGTTGTTTACTGAACTAAAATTTTTTAGTTCAGTAAACAACGACTTTTTCTTGACTAAAATTTTAATTTAGTCATATTTATTCATTATTTTAGTCATATATCAGATATATTTTAGCTAGAAAAATTGTTGCGAGTCCGCATCTTTTCAATAGCAAAGGCGACATCACTAGTTAAAATATTCTTCGAAAGAATGTTATTTGACTTTTCCCCCTAAATCTTGCCATCTATATTTTTTTTTTGGGCGGCCGCCAACAACCGGTTTCAATGTTCTATCTGGAGATAGATTTGGTTACTAGCGATAGGTATTTGACATTAGCTCCATAATACTTGCGTCAAAACTCCTACTCCAGTATCCAAATCTATCTTTTTATAGAATATTGAAACCGGCCGTTAGAACCGTTACGACATGGAAACCTTCTAGAAGGGAGCATTCTTTTTCTTCTTGATCTTCGTTACTGAAGGTTGTGTCCATCCTGAAAATTTTTAAGAGAATCGGAATCTGCACTAACTCTCCGAAGAAACCCGTTATGAAGGCAGCATACTCTTTCCTAAACGGCCGGCGATGCATTTGTAAGCCCTCGGGTGTTGCAGGTGTTCATGTGCGGCGGTAATCACTTAGTCAATACACTTTCCTCCACGCGGTGGAGCCAAACATCTATTTTTTTATTTATCACCAACAAAGTACACATTGTGACAGAATAATTATACAAGGTTTGCAAAAAAAGTGATGAGTGGTACTTAATTATAGGTAAAAACTACTTTACAACAGGCAGTGGAGACAAAAACCAAAAAACTTTTACAAAACTAAATGTGAAATACGAGCATTATAATAATACAAACATTAACTAAAATAGTTAAAACAGAAAAAAAAGCGGTATAAAAAGTACGTTACAAGTGGTTAAAAAATGCAAAGCCGGAGACGCGGCCTGGAGCCCGCAGTGGCATCGGCCTCGAACGAACGGCATCGAACCCGCGGCCGAATCGGTCTCAAATGAATCGGGCCGGATCGGCAGGCGCGGCAGCGGGCGCTGCTCGAGCCGCTGGCCGAGCTGTGCGGCGTGCGCCACTGCGACGTGCGCGCGCGCCAGCTCGAGTGCGCGGCGCGGCTGCTGCACTCGCGCGGCGACCAGCTCGGCGCCGCCTGGCCGCTCATGGTCGACGTCATCGCCGCCGTCTCCGAGCGGCACAGGTGCGCTCTTTCGTTGTTCTCCCTTTCTTTTTACGTGGGAAGCCGCCAAGCGAGCGGACACGTTAACCTTTTCAAAGTTGGCCTCCGGCCACCTTCCTCACCGGTCGAGACGCGAAAGTATTATGCTTCCACTTTACGCCGTTCTCCTGTGAGGCCTATTCGTGCAACAGCCGAGGCTGCTTCGTGGCCCTACCACCGTTCTTCGAAAGTTACCCTGTCACCTTACATGAAAGGGTTATGTGGGGTTCTCATCCACTAAAGCCCGCCCCCTCGGTGACTCTTCTGTACGTTTCGAGGGACTCGGGGATTTCCTATGAAACACACCGGTGTCCCCTCGGAGATGGATAAACGTTCTCCGATTCCCTCGCTCTCTTGTAGCAGCACGAGACCACTTCGTGCTACAGGTGCGCTCCCTAATGGTCTTTTTTCTTTTTTATGTGAGAAGGTGGCAGACAGAGAGGCAGCGGTCGCGAAGAGACTAACTAGCAAAGAAACGACACCTATTAAATCTGCGACGACGGAGTCTTTTTTTTAAGGAGGATAGTTAAAAACTAATAACCATACTTATAAAAATGGCGTATTTTGTAAATATAGTTTATTACGAGTCTTGGCATGTTTGTCCATGTGAGATTTACATTTGTGAAACGTCCTTACAACACAGGATAGTGTTATCCTTAAGTGAGGCCAACGTCATTAAAGAAAAATGTGCGTGGAGTCCCTCCGCGCGGAAGGGGTGAAACTGCGAGTGTCACGCATTCACTCTCGCCCTGTCTCTTTCTATTCCCCCTCCATTGTAGCGTTGAACACTTAACGCAACCTTGTTGGAAATCGCATTAGAAGGTTCACTTCAATTTTTTTTTAAATCATTGCCTTTACCTTAGTATAACATTATCCTGTGTGGTAAGGGCATTTTACAAACATAAACTTCACGCGGACAAACACCCCGCGAAACAAGCACCTGCGGGCCACACGAATAGTTGTCCCGTGCGGGAATCGAACCCACGACCCCTCGAAGTCGTCGAATGGGAGAGTGACGCGACACGCCCGCGGCAGCGAGCAGCTGGTGCGCTCGGCGTTCCAGTGCGCGCAGCTGGTGGCGGGCGACCTGCTCGGCTGCGCGGGCCCGCGCTGCCTGAGGCGCGTGCTGGCCGCGGCGGCCGCCTTCGCGCGCCAGACCAAGGAGCTCAACATCAGCCTCACTGCCGTCGGCCTCATGGTACCCTCATGGCGCCCCTGGATTTTAAACATTATCAGCCGACTTCGAAAAAGGAGGTCCTCAGTTCGAATGTTTTTTTACCTCGGAACTCTGAGCCGAGTGAACAGATTTTATTTGAAAGCTGGCGCTACCCATGTGGTCCCATATTAACTTCGTTGGTATAAATCAATTATAAAATGAAGACAGCGAGATATTTGAAGTGCTTATTGAATTTTTTTGAAGTCAGTTAACAAACTTTTTTTTTTTCAATGCGTTCGGTTTCATCATCTCAGAGGCCTCTCTTCTCAGCCAACCTTTAAAAAGGAGCATCTCGACCGACCGTCAACGTTATTAGTCTGTCGTTCGTGAATAGATTTTAAAAATTATTTTTGGATTAGGGACGGTTCGGCTTCTTTGTTGTGGTGGATCAATTCACTGGATACATTAATTATTTTAAATAAAAAATCGCAACGAGACCTTGCAGTAGAATCAAAAGTCAGGTTCCGTAGTTCAGTCGAAATATAGGAGGCTATTTTTTTTTTACATCGTAACTAAAATTACATTAGCTTAGAAATACTTATTCAATGGTAGCACTCGACAATTTTTGTTAGGATGCTCTCTCGTAAGCTGCTGCGTGGCCAAAACACTGTTAAATATCCTAATAACGTAACTTGCCCATATAATATATAACCTATTTTGTTCGTAAGCTGCTGCGTGTCTAACACTGTTTAATATACTAATAACAAAAAATGACCGTACACATAACCCATTTCACCCGCGCAGTGGAACATATCGGACTACCTGTACCACAACCGCGACAAGCTGTCCGCCGCGCTGGCGAGCGACACCGTCTGCCCCGAGGTGCCCAACCACGCGGAGCTGCCGCCCCTCGACCGGCTCTGGATGTGCCTCTACATGCGGCTCAGTGAGTGCTCGCCACGGCACCTGAATGAACGAGGGGAAGGAACGCTTAAAACTGGGGAATAGCGAAACCCGACTGTTGGCGCTGGCAACACTGTATACCGGATATGACGTTATCTACCCGAGCCAAAGGACACATGGTCGCGTGGAGCAGTGGTCACTTGGATTTCGGCTGCGTTCCCAGACAGTGATATAACCACTAGTGCTGCTTGTCGTTATAATAATTGTTAATATTCAAGTTCAGTATAGTTAAAATACTAGGATCAAGGTAAAAACGTTAGAACTCTTATACGACTGGGTGTAGTGTGCCGATTGGTGGCTAGATGGCGCCGTTGCTGAGCCATCGGCATTGGCGCCGGGAGACGCGGGTTCGACTCCCACACGGGGGTGTTTGTGTGATCCACAGATAATTGCTCCAGATCTGGGTGTTTATTTCCAAGGAGGACTGACGTCAGGCTGGTCGTAAAAAACCTAGCCGAATAATTAATAACGTGATTGACATGTTGTGCCGACCCCACCTTATGTGGGATAAATCAAATATCTTTATTTTACATAGGAGTATTACACTAGCTTATTGATAGTCAAAATACTACCACCGATTTGAAAATGAAAGCTACTTTACTGAGAAGAATCGGCGAAAGAAACTCAGCGGGCTCTTTTTTTTAAATAAACAGTTCGACATGAATATATTATAAATACAATATAAGAACTCTGATTGAAAGAGCAATAAAAGAGATATGGTGAGATAGCACATGTTTAGTTCCTAAATTAAAATAAATATATTTGACGTCCCGATTGACCTAGTGGGTAGTGATCCCCACCACATTATAAATATAATAATTTAAATATTGTGTGATAAACATAGCGTTTTTTCAATGTCTGGGTTTCAATATATTTATAATATGTATTTATTTACAAAAAGAAAAGTATGTTTAAGTATTAAGTTAGTTTGTCAATTATCTAGTACCCATAATATGTAGAAATGTGTCCTGAAAAGAATTTTTTAATGTGAGAAAGTGGCAAACGAGCTGGCGGTTCACCGGATGTTAAGTGACAACCGCCGTCCATGGACATTTGCGACACCCGTAGGGTTGCAGATGCGCTGCCAACTTTTACAAAGCGGCTCTACAGAATATGTCCCCCCAGGCGGGCTGTGAACGGACGCGCGGAAAAATATTTTACTCGCAACTCGACCAGCTCAGTCGTGCTAATTCCCTAGCGTCTTCGTTCAGACCACAATACCCGTTTATTGAATAAATTACTCGCAACCCGACCAGCTTAATGTCCGAACGAGGCTCTACAGACTACACCCTGTACACAGGCGAGCTGTGCACGGAGGCGCGCGCGCCGGTGCGCCGCGCCGCCAGCCAGACGCTGTTCAGCTGCATCGGCGCCCACGGCACGCTGCTCGGCAAGCCCGCCTGGCGGGCGCTGCTGGCCGTGCTCTTCCCCATGCTGGAGCAGGTGACGCTCCACCCTCCCCTGCCCTCCACCCCCTTCCATTGATTCTAATCTTACGCGTCTGCCAGACGCTTTGACCACTGAGCCAAACGGCTTATGCCCGGTTCCCATATTTGACGGAAGGCCGTTAGTGACATAGCTTCGTAACTTTCATAACGACGCGCAGATTAAAGGTAAGCTAGTAGCCCACTTTCTGTAGGTAATGCAACGGCTCGTAAGGTAAACGCCTCGTTTTGTTAATATAGGAACCGGGCGTTAGTGGTGAAAGTTTGCCATGCCGGCGAAAATCTCAACTTATTATATCTACTTTTTTTTTCGGATTAAAACTTATCGCTTAGCGATATTTATTTTATACTAGCTGCTGCCCGTGACTACGTCTGCGTAGAATAGGTTTAAGGAGTAACATTTGGACAGAAACACATATAAACATATAAATTATAGCCTATGTCTTAATCTGATGCATAAGCTATATTATTGTAAAGTTTAATTAAAATCCATTCAGTAGTATTTGCGTGAAATTGTATTAAACCTCCATCCATACATACAAACTTGCATCTTTATAATATTAGTAAGGAAATAAGGATAATTTTATTTTTTTTCCTCTGCCAAAGGTCCAAAAGCAATCGAACATCGCGAGCTCCGAGAAGGTGGACACGGGGGAGCACATACTCATCCACCACACGAGAAACACGGCGCAGAAACAATGGGCAGAGACGCAGGTAAATATTGTATTAACAATCTCATCGTCACTATTAGAAATTGTACAAAGTCTACGCGCTAGTCAAAAATGTCGAAGCTGAGCGCCATATTACCCAAAACAAATTATATATCTCTTTCTCCCATAAAATGCATGCAGTTTAATATAAGATTTCACAAAAAGGAGTTATTTCCGTTTGTAAGTCTCCCACGTCTTGAAAAAACAAATGATTCTGCGGCAGGTGCTGACTCTGTCGGGCGTTTCGCGAGTCTTCCACTCCCGCTTCCAGCTGCTGACGACGGTTGGAGATTTCAACAGGTCCTGGACCGCTCTGCTGGACTACATCACTGACTTCGCACTGAGGAGGAGCCACGAGGCACGTTCCACTTCTCTGGGGCGCATCGGCCGTTGGAAAGAGATCATAAAAAATTATTATTATTAATTGTTGGGGGGATATTCATTTGTTTTCTCGTCTGGTTGGGTTTATAAATAAAAATAGAAATATAGATACATATTGCATATATAAAATAAATATTATGGATAAAAATAAACGTATACGTATAAATGTTGTATATAATACATATATAAATATTATTATTGGCCTCTAATATATCACGCGAGAAAGAGAGAGACGCGCGGTTTCTGAAACACTGATCATCGTAGAAGTCAACTAATGAGCTGTCAAATGGATTTTCAAATGTCATTTGAGTTGCCAAAAGGATTGTTAAACTCTATGAATTGATCTATCCGATCATTAAGAAGATCACTCTGAACGATTCAGAGAGTTCAACAATCCTTTTGGCAACTCAAATGACATTTGGAAATCCATTTGACAGCTGATTACTTGACTTCTACGCCGATCAGTGGTACAGAGACCTGGCGAGGGATCAGTATAGTGAACTGTCGCTTTGGCAGGTGTCGCTGGCTTCAGAAGCCGGACGAGAGACTGGTATAAGGCCGGTTCCTTTCCTATATCCAACGAACGGCCGTTAGTTACATTGTCGTTATGAAGTCGTTACAACGATTCGTTATGAAAGCCACGAAGCTATGTAACTAACGGCCGTTCGTTGAATATGGGTCCCGGGCAATAGTGAACTGTCGCTTTTGCAGGTGTCCCTGGCGGCGCTGAAGTCCTTCCAAGAGGTGGTGTCGGCTGCTGGCCGCGCGGAGTGCGAGCCTGGCGTTTGGCCGGCCGCCTGGCAGGCCTGGAGCGACATCGCGGCCGCCGTTGGTGACCACCAACCGGGTACCACCTTTTCTTCGCCGGCGGGCACGACCAATGTTTTTTTCTCCTGATAGCTCGCTTTTAATTCAGTACACTCGAGCAACCCATGTTCAAATTCCGCAGACGGAAATATCGATGAAATTGTTGAGAGGGAAAACATCGTGAGGTTACCTGCATATTTTCGAAATGAAAACAATAAAAACCATTTCAAAGATATGTGAAGTCCGCCAATCCGCAGTGGGGCCGCGTGGTGGATTATGCCCTGACACCCTTTGTACAGAGGAGGCCTTTGCCTAGCAATGGGACGTGTATAGGCTGTTACTCCCCTTTACTTTCCTATATAGCGTGTCGTAACCATCGCGACAATAAATGAACACACGTCTAACGCTACTTGCCAATAATCATAAAAAAATATAAAACGTTAAAAAGTCCATAATTAAAAAAATATATATTTTTCAAACAAACTAATTAAATAAAAAAGAAACAAAATTTGTAACACCTATACAACTACAACTGACTGATTCATACATTGAGAGACTTATTCATTCGTTGCCAAAACGTCGCATTAAAAGTCTCTCCTTCGGACAGTAATTTTTGTCTCTTTTAAATTCATTCAACCCATTCATATGCTTTGTGACCTTTACAAATGAACTTTACGTTACAGTTTTATACGAAAGGGTGTTCTAAAATTGTTTGTTTTGGTAAAATTAATAACTCGGTAAATATTGATGTTTAAAGAATGTAAATGTTTAATACAATTTTAAAAAGTTATCCTTTATATGTGTGTTCATTTATTGTCGCGGTGGTAACGACACGCTGTATAAAATTTTGTAGATTTGACTGCCAATCCACAGTGGTCAAATCTGAAAAAATTGCAATTAACAATTCCATTGGAGCCGTCACCGGGATTTAAACTGTTGGCCCGAGTATTAAAAGTGAGCTCCCTGGACACTGAGCTATCACGGCTCATAACATCAAAACAAACACATTGTTTTATGTAATAGCATATTAAATAATTTAATATACGATAGTCATATTTCGACAGTTTTGGTTCCTTTTGTGCAAGCATGAACGTCGAACTACGCCGATTCTTTGTTCTATTCTCCGTATTAATAACATATTTCTTATTATACATAATTCTAGTTCAAGAGGAGGGCAAACCGGTGGAGGTGTACGCGCCCTCGCAAAACTTCCTCACAACACTGGTGCAGATATTCCCGCTAATATTCCAGCACATACGCTCGAAGTGAGTTTAATTATAAATAATTTATATGTGGCAGGGCCACGCAGCCTGTCTAAGAGGTGATTTGAAGTTTCGAGGTCCAATACATGTATGATTACATACAGATAAATTACGAATTAATGTAACAACCTGGAACGGTTCTCTGCAATTTATAAAGAAAATTACTATTTCTACTATTCTTTCGTCACTCCATCTAGTGGGGGGTCGTCCCACACTGCGATGGCCAGTACGAGGCTGCCACTCAAGAACCTTTCTTCCCCAACGGTTATCGGTTCTACGAGCTAAATGGCCGGCCCATCGCCACTTCAGCTTGCTAATCCTCTGAGCTATGTCGGTTATCTTAGTGTTAGTTCTACTGCGGATGTCTTCGTTACGAACTCTATCGGGCAGAGAAATACCGAGCATAGCCCGCTCCATAGCTCGCTGAGCGACATTGAGCTTCCTCATACGGCCAGTGTGCGGGAAGTCGATGGATGCAGGTGGCTCAGGATAGTACTTCGTGGCAGTCTATGGGGGAGGCCTGTGTTCAGCAGTGGACTCAAACAGGCTGAAATGATGATGATGATGATGACTATTCTTTCTAATGGATACACCAGTTTTAGTACCAGTATCACTTATGTATTGCACTTGGTAAATTTGATATCCTCTGCCCTTTGCTAAAGGATATCTTATCATTGTTGATAATATAGGTAATTAATTAAAAATATCAACTTCAATTTAAAAGATACCTTACTGAAGAAGCATCGTGAGAAAACCTGAATATTTTTGAAATAACAAAAAAGAAAGTTTGAACATAAGTATATGTGAAATCCTCCAATCTGCAGTGGGGCCGCGTGGTGGACTATGTCCTAATGCCCTTTATACGGAAGAGGCCTTTGCCCAGCAGTGGGACATATTAAGCTGTTACTTTACTTTTAATGGAATAAACTTATTAAACTATTATCCGCTACCTTCGGAAGAAAAGCCGGTGGTACCTTACGAATCTATACACATAATCTTTGATGTAAAATTTGACGATTCATAAGAGCGCGCAAGCGTCTATTTGAATAAATATATTTTTGATTTTGATTTTGATTTGGAAGGAAATAGTATAGTCGTAAGACCCGTAAGGGCTAGAGGGCGCAACAGGCATTGTCCCGTGGCAGTGAATGTTTGTATCAAACTGTAGAGTTTGTTAAATATACGATAATACGCTGGGACATTGACATTAATAAACTAAAGTGACATTACGAAATAAAGTGCCACATTGTCTTACGTACATTTATTGTTTAAAAAATACGGAACTTCATATTTGTATGTCAATTTCAATGTCCCGCGTATCAACCTATATTTACAGACTTTACGATCGGTTTCTGAAACACTGACTATCGTAGAAGTCAACTAATCAGCTGTATAAAGGATTTTCAAATGTTATTTTAAACTCTTTGATTCGATCTATCTGATTATTAGAAGTTCATTTTGGTCAATTCACAGAGTTTAACCGTCCGTTTGACAATTAAAATGAAATTTGAAAAGCCATTTGACAGCTGATTACCTGAAAGTGTATCAGAAACCGGGCGTTAGTGCAGTGGCTACGTTTACGAAGGAAGGTGTCACTAGTGTAGTGACCCGTTCGGTCCCCAATTGAGCGCTTCTATCTATATCCCCCACTGAGCGCTTCTATCCGCACAGCTTCACCGCCAACGACGTGCAGCGCCTGGGCGGGTGCCTGTGCCGCATCTGCAGCGCCGAGACCGCCAGCGCCGTGGCGGCGGGCACATCACTAGCGCCCGCCGCGCCCGTCACCCTGCACGCGCTGCACTGCCTCGAGGCGCTGCACAAGGTACGCTCGCGCTGTCTCGCTCTTCTGTCGTTCGCAATACACTCTCGTGCTGTCTCGCTCTTCTGTCGTTCGCAATACACTCTCGTGCTGTCTCGCTCTTCTGTCGTTCGCAATACACTCTCGTGCTGTCTTGCTCTTCTGTCGTTCGCAATACACTCTCGTGCTGTCTCGCTCTTCTGTCGTTCGCAATACACTCTCGTGCTGTCTCGCTCTTCTGTCGTTCGCAATACACTCTCGTGCTGTCTTGCTCTTCTGTCGTTCGCAATACACTCTCGTGCTGTCTCGCTCTTCTGTCGTTCGCAATACACTCTCGTGCTGTCTCGCTCTTCTGTCGTTCGCAATACACTCTCGTGCTGTCTCGCTCTTCTGTCGTTCGCAATACACTCTCGTGCTGTCTCGCTCTTCTGTCGTTCGCAATACACTCTCGTGCTGTCTCGCTCTTCTGTCGTTCGCAATACACTCTCGTGCTGTCTTGCTCTTCTGTCGTTCGCAATACACTCTCGTGCTGTCTCGCTCTTCTGTCGTTCGCAATACACTCTCGTGCTGTCTCGCTCTTCTGTCGTTCGCAATACACTCTCGTGCTGTCTTGCTCTTCTGTCGTTCGCAATACACTCTCGCGCTGTCTCGCTCTTCTGTCGTTCGCAATACACTCTCGTGCTGTCTCGCTCTTCTGTCGTTCGCAATACACTCTCGTGCTGTCTTGCTCTTCTGTCGTTCGCAATACACTCTCGTGCTGTCTCGCTCTTCTGTTGTTCGCAATACACTCTCGTGCTCGCAATACTAGTACGTTGGACGGTTAATGTTCCGAAAGGTGCAGAGGCAGCGAGTTTTTCTATCTTATCCCATGCTTTCGCCGCGCAATAATGCGTTTGTAGCATTTATGTTTAAGACACGAGAGAACACTATAAAATATACAATAACCAAAGAACTTTGTCCTTCACAGGAGGCACTGTCGCGGCACGAGCTGCTGCCGCCGCTGTTCGAGGCGCTGACGTCATTAGCGGCCGCCTGCGCGGAGAGGGCGGCGCGCGGGGAGCGGGTCGAGAGGGGCGAGCGGGGACCCCAAGCCGGGGCCCGCTGCCTGTCCGCCGCAGCGGCCCTCTACCGAGCGGCCCCCGCGCCCAGCGCGCCACAGCTGCCCTGCCTGCTGCGGGTGAGCACCGCTCCACCGTCCACTATCCCTGCTATAGCTACTGAAGGGTCTTTCATTAATCACGTGATGTTTCTTGGCATTTTTTATGCAAGAAGTATTACAACAAATTTTATTCTCTGAAACGCATACAAAATGTAAGACGGGCACGCGACAGGCCCAGATGGAGATGGCGCGACGAACTGGACGCATTTGCGAGGGATTGGTCTGGTATAGCCCACGGCAGGGAAGAGTGGAAGAAATTGAAGGAGGCCTTTGCCCGACAGTGGGATACTAGTGGCTGAATACGAATGAATACGAAACGCACATGGCAACCGATCACCGTGCATATAGGATATAAGAAGAAATAAATTTACAGAGCGAGATATTTGAAGCCAGTTTTGTTTTTAGTTAATAAAACTATATTTTTATCTGTTTTATTTATAAGAAGTTTATTTTAATGTATTCTAAAACATTTTTGTCCGGTCGTTTGAGATCAAAGGCGCGTAATGTTTTAGATTGTACTTTAAAATAATTTCTTAATGTGCAGTCACATGGGATTATTAAGTTGAAGTTACTAGCATAGAATAAGTGTCCATAACAGTATCCTCCTTCCAGGCACTTCACTCGGCCGTGCAAAAGTGCGGCACGGAAAAGGGTCGTCGCAACAGCGAGCCGTCAGAAGACACCGCGCAAATCGCCTCGCTGTTGCTCCAGGTCTGGACTTCAAAATCTCTTCATCAATTAAAATGATACGTTTTTTTTTATATGCGACGGTTGCAAACGAGCAGTTCGCCTGATGTTAAGTGATAACCGACGCCCATGGTCAATGCAACACCCGTGTTGCAGATGCGTTTCCACCTTTCAATAAAGTGGGCCCCGGCTTCCTCACTCGCCAGACGAAACGCAGAAGTGTAACACTTCTTTTTTTTTTTAATATTGCCATTACTTTAGGATAACACTATCCTGTGTTGTAAGGACGTTTTACAAACATAAATTTCACGCGGACAAACACCCAGATGCGAAACAACTACCTGCGGGCCACACAAATAGTTGTCCCGTGTGGGAATCGAACCCACGACCCCCGACGCCGAAGCCAATACCTTCGCAACTGTGCCACGGAGTCATCTCACCTCACGCCGTCTGCGAGATCGTGCCACTTCCTCGGACGGACCTGCCCATTCTCGCAATAGCGAAGACTGGTGCGTTCCCTACCACAGTTGAAATACTTACGTATGCATCCTATGTGGGCGGGCACCAGTGAAATTGTCCATTGCAATTTTAGGTGCTGACATGTCACCTCAGCGGTGAAGAAACTTATTGAGCAAACCTGCATATTTTCGAAATAATAATGGAAAAAAATATCTCGGAGATATTTATTTATTTATATTCTTTACTGAAACATCATAAAAAAAGGGGTTACAAAGGGCATTTTCTATCAGTCAACCCAGAAGACCGCTAATCCGCATTGGTCTCGTGGTAGACTATGCCTTAAGGACGCGTTTACGAATTCACGCGCTTCAATTTTAGGTACAGAGGCGTACTACTACACGTGCACGGCTCACGCACACAGCGACAAGCGCGAAGCAGCGAAACTTTATGTAACTGACGCAACTTGATACTTTTATTTAATTTGAAGTCATTTATTTTTTAAGCTTACGTTAAATTTGTTTTCAACAAGTTTTTAAACTGAATATTTTTTTATATATTTAGGTATAATTTATTAAATTTCATTTAAAAGCTCGTAGCTGTTGATAATTTGCGTTTTAATTAATTATGTATATAATTTAATTTTATGTTTTAATTAATTTTTATGAAGTAAACGAAGCTTGTTTTATACATGTTTGATTATGCGTGCGGTAGGTAGATAGCTTGATAGGTAGGTAATGATAGGGTACGTAGGAAGGTAGCTATGTAGGCAGATAATTAGGAAAAACCCGCTAACGAATTGAGTAAAATACTTTGTATGGTATTCTGAATGCATTTTGCTGATTCAATAATATTCATGCTAAATGTTAAAAAAAATAATTTTCTGTAAATGAATTGGAAATAGCATGGCGTACGAAGCCGGGCTAGTATCTAGAAACTAAAAATGAAATAATAAAACGAAGGAAACAAACTAGTAAAAATTAAAAAACATTTTTATAAAAAAAAACCTGTCGCACTCGGCTCAGCTGGGGTAAATCTATAGCATAGCATCTTTTATCAACTTATGCGATTATAATTATTTAATTATGCAGTATTTTTTTCTTTGATATTTATATTTATGTTAATAAAATAATAATATTTTAATATATATAATAATTAATATATATTATAATTAATAATATATAATTAATTTATATTATTTACAAAAATGATAAGAACTACTAAGTCAGTCACTAAGCTCTGGATAGTTAAATTACAATATACTAACATTTTTAAACTTGTGATATCTTTCGAATGGAATGTCCGAATTTAATCGTTCAAAAAGTTAAATGAAGATATTGAAACAGTCTTAAATATAACGTAATTTATTTTTATAAGAATTAATACCAAGATACAAATAAAGAGCCTTTTCTAGCGGCGGCATTTCAATCAAAATTTTAAGGTAAAAGAATACTTATTGTGGCATAACTATGATAGTTAGACATATACTGTCGCAACACTTTTTATAAATAATGATGTGTTCTGCAAATTCGTAGTACATTATTTTATACAATTATCAATAGTTTTAGCAGCGCACGCGATGCAAACAATATTTTAGGTAATTTTTGTACACTTTGGTTTACATTATTCAAGTTTTAGTAAGGATTCCTAGTTTTTTGAAAATTTAATATATCCTATGTCATCCGGGGATAATGTAGCTTCGAGACAGTGAAAGAAATTTTCAAATCTGTTCAGTGGTTTAGGAGCCTATTCAATGCATAAAAACAATCAAATCTTTCCTCTTGCGTGGTAGGCGGAGTGGGTGGTGTTAGGTTTTATTTTCGTTACGGAATTTATTGATTCATTCGCCGCGCTCAAAGCCCGCGATAAAAGCTGTGCAATAGCTTAAAAAAATATTGTTTCATTTTTAATTGGACTCTTCCATGCTCTTCGCAGAACTGTCTCTATGTCGATCCTGGGTGGAGCCAGCCCGCGAGGCCAATTTATACCTCCGACACGAGGTTCTGGCTCCGCCTTTTGATGTTCACTCTAGGGATAGGGAAGACCACACGGAGTCGGGGTGCTCTGTGTCGGATCTTTGTGATTTTTCTTTATAGTTCTCTATCATTTAATTATTTTTGTTATCTATATCGAAGTAGTAGCCCCTGCTAAAATTTTATCGTTTTAGGCTTTGGCATCTGAAACAACAATTGAGTTATAAGAGGTATAAATGTTGTATGTGATAACTGTGCCATAAAAATAAGTCTTTGATAATTTAAGTTGAGACCCACTACATTTTTACATAACTATTTTTTTTCCGTGTTTTGCCTATTTTAAAGACGTTCTTACTTATTTTAAATTAAGTATTATTTTAGGCAGAATCCATGATCATAAAAGTTGATCAGTGCGAAACACGACAAAACAATAAACGATAAATGGGGTCATAAACGTGAAACAAAAAGTTTGCCACATAGCTGTCGTTCGAAACTTTTGAAGTACATGTTTATTACACCTATTCATTGAAACATACAAAAAAATGACCTTTTAGACATGCCTAATCTTACAATTTGCAAGTGTGCAAATTTGTTTTGTATTACTTGTATTTTTAATTATCCATACAACTTTTCTACATGTGGTGTACTTTTGGCCAACATTTGGCTGCATGGAAATAAGAATTTATAATAAAATACCAGATAGGTTCATAGGCCTCCCGGAGTATTTAAATTTAAACGAAAATTCTAAAATCTGTACACTGTCAAATAAGACATTTAAAATATTTAATCATGTCTAAGTAATGTACAATTTTTATATTAAAAATTCATTACTTTGACTTGTGATTTACTTTGACTTATATTTATACTCTATTGACTCATAATTATAATCTAAATTTCAATTTTTTTTTATATTAACATGTTTCACAAATATTTATACACAGAATTGATGTAGAATACGTAGTTCCATATTTTAAATAACTTTTTTACTGTATTCTTACACCTTCATGCCAATACATCAATTTCAAAGGTAAGGTCTCAAAAAAACTCACAAAACAAGCCCAAACTCGACACACATAGCTCATCTCGTCTGTTAGTTCCAGTAGCAGTTCTCGAAGTACACCTTCAGGTCACTCCATCTATTCAGAAGGCAAGATCTCACCATACCTAATAAAACAAGCCCAAACTCGACACACATAGCTCATCTCGTCTGTCAGTTCCAGTAGCAGTTCTCAAAGTACACCTTCAGGTCACTCCATCTAGTCAGAAGGCAAGGTCTCACCATACCTAACAAAACAAGCCCAAACTCGACACACATAGCTCATCTCGTCTGTTAGTTCCAGTAGCAGTTCTCAAAGTACACCTTCAGGTCACTCCATCTAGTCAGAAGGCAAGGTCGCACCATACCTAACAAAACAAGCCCAAACTCGACACACATAGCTCATCTCGTCTGTCAGTTCCAGTAGCAGTTCTCAAAGTACACCTTCAGGTCACTCCATCTAGTCAGAAGGCAAGGTCTCACCATACCTAACAAAACAAGCCCAAACTCGACACACATAGCTCATCTCGTCTGTTAGTTCCAGTAGCAGTTCTCAAAGTACACCTTCAGGTCACTCCATCTAGTCAGAAGGCAAGGTCTCACCATACCTAACAAAACAAGCCCAAACTCGACACACATAGCTCATCTCGTCTGTTAGTTCCAGTAGCAGTTCTCGAAGTACACCTTCAGGTCACTCCATCTAGTCAGAAGGCAAGGTCTCACCATACCTAATAAAACAAGCCCAAATTCGACACACATAGCTCATCTCGTCTGTTAGTTCCAGTAGCAGGTCTCAAAGTACACCTTCAGGTCACTCCATCAAGTCAGAAGGCAAGATCTCACCATACCTAACAAAACAAGCCCAAACTCGACACACATAACTCATCTCGTCTGTTAGTTCCAGTAGCAGTTCTCGAAGTACACCTTCAGGTCACTCCATCTAGTCAGAAGGCAAGGTCTCACCATACCTAATAAAACAAGCCCAAATTCGACACACATAGCTCATCTCGTCTGTTAGTTCCAGTAGCAGTTCTCAAAGTACACCTTCAGGTCACTCCATCAAGTCAGAAGGCAAGATCTCACCATACCTAACAAAACAAGCCCAAACTCGACACACATAGCTCATCTCGTCTGTTAGTTCCAGTAGCAGTTCTCGAAGTACACCTTCAGGTCACTCCATCTAGTCAGAAGGCAAGGTCTCACCATACCTAATAAAACAAGCCCAAATTCGACACACATAGCTCATCTCGTCTGTTAGTTCCAGTAGCAGTTCTCAAAGTACACCTTCAGGTCACTCCATCAAGTCAGAAGGCAAGATCTCACCATACCTAACAAAACAAGCCCAAACTCGACACACATAACTCATCTCGTCTGTTAGTTCCAGTAGCAGTTCTCGAAGTACACCTTCAGGTCACTCCAACAAATCAGAAGGCAAGGCCTCACCATACCTAACAAAACAAGCCCAAACTCGACACACATAGCTCATCTCGTCTGTTAGTTCCAGTAGCAGTTCTCGAAGTACACCTTCAGGTCACTCCATCAAGTCCGCAACGAAATATGAATTTTTAACCCCTACTAATTTCTAATAAAAATATGACAAAGTGTGAATTATAGATTACTTTTGTCGTTCGTAGTCCGAAGTCCGAACATGATGTGTAAAGTATCAACTTTGTTACGACAAATATTTTGTATTCGTACAGCGATCTTTTTCCTCATGAGCTGCTGTTTATAAGCGACATAGTGACCACTCATGACGGCAGCCGAGCGCCGACTAATATTTCTTTAAATATTTTTGTGGAATAAATCAAAAAAGTGACCAGTAAAATAACCTTTATGTCAATCACTTAAAATTCACGCGTAAGATATAAATGTGAAAGAAATAGATTTTAATCTTTATTTTTTTCTGAAACTAATTTCAACAATTTTGATACGTAATGTAGCTACCTTTTTGAGTTGATCATGTGTGCTACATAAAATGTTTTTAAATAAAAAAAATATGTTATTAAATAAGAGAAAAATGTTCCTAAACCCAACAGGATATCGTCCATTTTGAGTGAAGTGGTCACGAAAATTCTCATTTACAATATTATAAACCAAAATTTTCGATTAAAAACTCTCTACCATTTGAAGATGAAGGAGGGATCTATATGTGATAATTATTACTTACATTATATTCGTTTCGTTTTGCCGCAAAATGTACCTGAAAACCCCCTATTTTTGCAGATTCCGCGAGATTTCGCAAACACGCCCTTAATACCATCTGTATAGTGGGGGCATAATAACAAAAAGTAAACCTGTAACTTACCCTTTTTTTAAGTATAAGGACAACTCTTTACTGATGTGTGCTTAAGAAGACATCCTGTGCCCATTTTAAATATTTTTGCAGGTTCTCGCTACCGGTTTACCTCTAGCGAGGGAGAAACCGGCGGACTACGAAGATTTCTGGGAGGTTCTGCCCACCGTTCTCGAGACGTTTATGTTTGAGCCGCCGTGAGTAGATTTATATTATTATTTGAAGTAAAAGTAAAGTAAAGTAACAGCCAATACATGTCCCACTGCTGGGCAAAGGCCTCCTCTATACAGAGGGTATCAGGGCATAGTCCACCACGCGGCCCCACTGCGGATTGGCGGACTTCACATATTTTCTAAATACATATTTTTGTTATTATTTCGAAAATATGCAGGTTTCCTCACGATGTTTTCCTTCACCGCGGAGCACGTGATAAGTCAGCACTTAAAGTTAAAAACTTCATTGGTGCCGGCACCGGGATCGAACTCAGGTTGCTCGAGTATATATTGAATTAAAGGCGAGCGCCCGGACACTGAGCTATCACGGCTCTACTGAGCTATCACGGTTATTTGAAGTACCAACTTTTAGGCCGGTATGTTGTTAGCACAGTCAACGGTCATCCTGGTGACGATCCGCGCCGAACCTCTATAGCTCGTAGGCGACACACCTTAGCTAACGCAATTTGTTTTGGTCGGCACTTACTCCAACGCACTCTTCGACATATTTCAGATGACAAAGACAGCAATTCTTGGCGCATCCATTGTTATATCCTTTCCAGCATACATTTGCTTGCATCAAATGCTAAAGAACATTAATTTCGTCGGTGTGGCAATCAGCCGTTTAGCTCAGTGGCTAGAGCGCCAGGGCGCGAATAACGAAGACCAATTTATGAAAAACTTTTAATACCTTTTTTCTACAAAAAAAAAATGTGAAGTAAGCGTTACGCTTGTATATTGAATGAAGATATTTAAATTGGAACGTATCGGTCCAGGGTCGGCGGCGGGTCGCACGCGCGCGAGCTGGTGGGCATCGTGCGCGACGAGGTGCTGCGGGGGACGCCGCGCGCGCCGCCGCAGCACGCGCGCCGCGTGCTCAAGCTGCTGCGCGCCGCCTCGCTGCACGCGCAGCCGCGGCCCGCGCGTGAGTACCCCTGGCGCACTGCGTATGCACCCGCAGGTGGCGGGTGAGCACCCCTGACTCTACACGATTAGTGGTGCCTCGCGCGTGAGTACCCCTGGGCGCTCCAGATGTAGCCGCAGTTGGTATGTAAGCGCCCCTGTCTAACTACAACATCAAACGTAAGCCGCGCATAAGTACCACTGGCGCACGGTAGGTACCGCCGCAGGTGGCGTGTGAGCACCTCTGACTCTCCATCATCAGCCGTAACCCGCGTGTAAGTACCTCTGGCGCAATGCACGTAGCCGCCGATAGCGCGTGTGAGCCCCTGCCTCTATATGACCAGCTGTGACCCGCGCGTTAGTACATCTGGTTGCTGCAGATATAGCCGCAGTCGTAGATGGCGTGTGACCACCCTTTCCTCTAAATTATCAACCACGGCCCGCGCCTGAGTACCCCTAGCGCGCTGCATGTTCAGCCATGGTCATCATGGTCGTGGGAGCACCCCTGCCTGTACACGATCAGTTGTGACTCGCGCGTGAGTACCCCTGGACGCTCCAGATACAGCTACATCAGGCTACACCCGCACATAAGGTGGTGCAGATATAGACGCATGTGGTGCACAATCTGCCTCCCTACACGATCTGCAACGCAACAGCCTTTGCTGTTGCACGAATGGTTGGGCTCTTCCGTTGAAGTTCCATAACCTCGGAATAGACCAGCGTGAAGCAGAACTCCTTAATGTAGATTATTAAATTCAAATAAATCTTCCTCACGCAGAAAACGAACAGGAGCTCCGGGAAAGGGAGGAGTTCGCACGGACGTGTTTCGAAACTCTCCTCCAGTTCTCGATGCTGGAGGACATCGACTCCCTCACCGGAGGTGATAGTAAGTAACTTTTACTTCACACGTGGCTTATAATTTCGCAGTAATTATTAGTATGTATGTTAATAATAACAATATATGTCACAGTAAAGAGTTCAAGAATATCTTCCTTTTCACATGCTGCATATTTTTCTCGATTACTGTCATATTAATCGGTGTCTAAAGAAAATAAAAAAAATCACGATAACGATAAAATAAATATCACAACAATAGCACATTCCAAAGATTTCATAAATTGAAATGCCCAGTACACAGTTTAATATGACTGCTGTACGGATTTTATGGCATTTATGCGAGTTACTTTTTAATATAAACCGCATTAGAATCTGTAAATTAGCGAAGCTATATTTATAAAATTTTTGTAAATTGATACTAGATGGCGTTAACTAAATTCTTTTAAATATATACATACGGCATTTATCTTTTACTTTCTACCCCGTTCCAGGTGAAACCGACCCTTTGGCAATCATGCCCCTGTTGGATAGATTCCAGGAGGTCATATCCAAGTATACCGGCGAGGATGATAATACGGAACCTTTACCAAGGTATACTTCCATTATAAGTTTATAAGCACAGAATGTTACGCCTTCAGCCTATTCTACGCAGACGTAGTCGCGGACAGCAGCTAGATTGTGAATATAAACCTTTCATGTTGGTCAATTGAAATACAATTACACTATCTTTTGCCTATTAATGCTGTGATCGAAAAACAAGAAAAACTTAACATAATAACCATAGGAATAAGGACTGACCCTATATCAGAGAACTCGAAGTATATCAGCTGTTTTCTCTCCGGTCATTATTTAATTGAAACTTCTACTCTCCCAACGCAGGCATCAGCTTTCTGAGATATCGTTTGTGCTGAAAGCGATCGCGAGCCTCACGGAGGCGATGAAGAAAGCTCCACCAGGCAAAGTGGACACCACTGCGTGGGATAAATTGATAGGTAATCAAAATGATTATGTTTCTCAAAAGTATGAATTCGTTAAAAAATTTACTAAGCTATTAATTAATCAGAACAGAAATTCGAAATGAGAAAAACCTAATCGAGTCGTGTCCAGCTTATCACGTGTCAACGTCAAAGGATAACATCGTGTGGAAACGAAAATAATTTTTAGCAAAAAAAAACCGAATTCAATCAGAAAATTAGTTAAAAACATTGTTAATACCTATAACATTCAATGATCGCCCTCGATTTCTCTGAGATGCCCATCATCAGACCCGGGTTTCCTTATCATGGTATCACCCTTGGGATATATCCTTTACGACAAAAAGGATCATCAAAATCGGTTCATAAACGACTTAGTTATCCGCGAACACACATAAAAAAAATAAAAATATATACGGTCGAATTGAGAAACCTCCGCCTTTTTTGGAGTCGGTTAAAAAAGCAGACATGTGAAGTCCGCCAATCCGCACTCCCTAATACCCTCTGCATGCAGAAGGCCTTAGCAGTCTGTTACTTTTTTAAGTCGTGTTCAATGCACCAAATGCCATGGCACCGATTGTCGGCCGTGTCTTCGTTCGACGAAGAAGCATTAATGATTTGCCAACCGTCGACTCGAACGGCGTAGTGGGTAGTGTACTTGCCTTCTGCGCCATAGGGCGTGGGTTTGATCCCCACTACTGGAAAAATATTGTGTAATGAAGATAGTGTTTTTCTAGTGTTGTTAAGAAAAATATGTTTATCAGTTATCTAGTACCCATAATACAAGTGTTGCTTAGTTTGGGACTAGAGAATGTTGAAGAAGAAGAAGAAACGTTTATTCACAGTCTAAAAAGAAATGAATACATGAATACAAAACTTAAAAATAATAATGTAACTACACAGAAACTTAAAATAAATGTAAACATAAAAAAAAAACACACAAAATAATAACAGTAAGTGATGGTGTGACGGTCTGTGTAGCAGCATAAGCTGTATGCATATGCATATATGCATAATGCTGCTACACAGACCGTCACACCCACACGACCGTGAAACGGACGGGACTCGGTAAAAGTGGAGATACAGTAACTAAAATTTGTTCTGATCCCGACACCGGTTTTCAGTCCGGCCCCCACTTCGAGGCAACTGTTGTGTGAAAATGTGTCCTAAAGTAGTTATTTGTTTACTACCGCAGGGCTGTACCCCGCGCTGGTGCGGCTGGCGGCGAGCGCCCGCGCGGCGGCCGCCGGCGGAGCCCTGCGCGAAGCCCTGCTGCAGTTCGCCGCGCTCCTCGCCCCGCCCGCGCCGCCCCTCTAGCGCCGAGTGCTCTACACCATACGCATATAGAGCACGCGCCTGTAGCGCCCGGGTACTACATTCCCTTGTTTTGTGCTGGACTAGCGACCCTCGAATCACTCTATCTAATTAAAAAAAACCGCATCGAGATTCGATTGCGTAGTGTTAAAGATCTAAACAAACAAGGGACAGACAGACAGCGGGATGACTATAGTATGTAGTGAAGAAGCCAAGCACCTGACGTTATGTGACAACCGCCGCCCATTACATTTGCAACACCCTTACGGTTGCAGATGCGTTGCCACCTTTTGATAAAGTGGGCCTATGTTTCGCTAACGAAACGCAGAGATGTTAATATTTCCACTTCACGCCGGTCTTCTGTGAGATCTTGGTACTTCCCCGAACGGAACTGCTTATTCGTGCAAAAGCATACGACACCATAGTAAAATAATAGCTAGATGTTATGTATGTGTATTGTATAGTAAATGCATTGTACACTGATATATTATTTGGTTAGTTATCGTCATTTATTAATTTCATTAAATCGCGACAACCTATGAGTAACTGGTTAAAAACAAAAAAAAAGAATAATGTAAACTAAATGTACCTAATATAATATACAGCGTGTCCTTACAACCGCGACAATAAATGAACACACGTCTAACGCTACTTGCCAATAATCATAAAATATAAAACGTTATAAAATCCATAATTAAAAAATATATTTTTGAAACAAACTAATTAAATAAAAAAGAAAAAAAATTTGTAACACCTTTACAACTAATACTGACTGATTCATACATTCAGAGATGTTTTTCGTCGACAGATTCATACATTCGTTGCCCAACGTCGCATTACAAGTTTCTTCTTCTAACAGTATGTTTTATCTTTTTTAAATTCATTAAACCCATTCATATGCTTTTTTTAAAATGAACTTTACGTTACAGTTTTATACGTGTTCTAAAAATGTTTGTTTTGTAAAATTTAATAACTCGGTAAATATTTATGTTTAAAGAATGTAAATGCTTAATACAATTTTAAAAAGTTATCCTCTACATGTGTGATCATTTACTGCCGCGATTGTAAGGACACGCTGTATATAAATAACTGTGATACATACTGTACACATTCGTTATTTGCTGTTTATTGTAAATAAATTTTTGTTTACAGAATGTTGGCTGCTTTGGCCGTGGCCGCTAATCGTCCGTAAGGAGTAAAACCACCAAATATTATTAGAGACTCTACTTTGCGAAATTGTGCGGTTGTCGTAAAAACCTCTAGCGCATGTTGTAAACTCAAGATAATTTCACATCCATTTTAGCAACTAACCAACTTTGTATTACTCTTATCCAAAAGCCAGTTATATTATTTATTTTATCATTAAATATAGATTATATTAAGATCTATCAGTTGAATGTTGCTAGTTAACAAATTAATTTATGATATTCCAATTCTTGCTTATGAAAAATTATTTAATGTTACTATGTTTCGCCTTACCCCATTCTCTGTCTTATAACGCTTCAGTATGTATTTGATTGAATGCAAATACATGTTTTGGCTAAACTGTTGCCATATGTAAAAAGCGATCGATTATGTAATAAATTGTGTTTTATTTGTATATATTGATAGTAGGTAAACCCTGTTATGAGATTAACTTGTAAGTTGATTGATGACATATTTAATTATTGCGATGAAATGTTTCACGTTATTTGTATGTAAGATTCATTTTTGTTTTACCAAATTGCACTTGTAGAATTCTGTTACGGAAATCCGTTACGTGTTATGCAACAATCCCATGTGTCATTTCGTATTTAAGGTCCATGTAATGCCACACTACACAGTAATAAATCTTTCCAATTAACTCACACTAACAAGGCTTTTATACTTTAATTTTAGTGCTAGTCTCTGCACCTAAGATGAACTTACAATGTGCATAAAAAATTGTTAAAAATCACAAATCGAACCAAAGCATTACTAAAATTATATGACAATAAAATTGATAAAATGTCGACATTTTCGCACAGTCAGGTGATATCGGTCGCTTAGTGAATTAAGTACCTTAAAGAGCATCTGGAAGGAGCCGGTTTGAATTCTAGCAGTGGCGAAAAATTTTTCGACAATTTTATCTGCACATTTTAAAGCTTTCATAGTTCATCTCTCGCTAAAAAGAATAGCCAATTATGTAATTAGCTATTGTTTTTAGCAATAACACCAAAAACGGCTTGTCATTACAATTTTGGCGTGGCAACATTATAGAAAAGATATGTCTTCTGATACACATAATTTTGTAGATAGACAAATGACAAATGACAAATAATTTAACTAGCTGTAATGGACTAAGTGCTATAGCGATATTAGATTTAGAGAAAACGGTTTTGTTATAGGTTCACAGAATTAAGACACTGGCAACACAGAGGTTCGTTTTTGACATTAACGTTCGCACTGAAGGACACTGTCCATGTTCATAAAATAAAATTAAAAAAAAATCATTGATATTTGTCAATGTTACCCAACCAACTTATGCAGGAAATAAGTATAGTAAAGTTTGTAAATTAAATTTATCCCAACTTCATCCCAGTTTCAGGGAATATATCTTAAAAGACTTTTTTTTGAAGCTAGAGTTAATGTTTATTGCTATTAGGTATTTAGTTATTTGCCAAAAAATCTATATAACAATCGAAAAGTAATGTGCTAGAATGTGCTGTTTATGAATGCAACTCAAACTGGACCTTTCTTTTTTTTTTTATTCTTTGTCCAGTTAACGGGCTATATAATTAAAAAACATAAAAATATATTGACAATTAAAATTTTATCTATTTAACATAAATTATGAGACCAATCTGTGTTGTTATTAAACAGTTACCGTTGTTTGAACTGCAATAGATAACATAGCTTTTATAAGAAAATTGTCATTGTATGTATCAATAAAAGTTGTGTGTATGATTATTATATATAGATACATATTGTTGTAAATTATTTAGTTTATTATTAACTATATTTAAACATGGCGTAATATATTGCTTAAAGCACTTTTGACATGATCAACAATGTTGGTGTTAATTATTTAATATAATAAATAATGGTATATCTTCCACTGGTAAATAATTATTCTTCACTCACCAACTTTGTTATCAGAAGAGATAATATTATTTCATGAAGCAAGAAGACTTAAAATAGATTTTTCTAATAAATTTTAATTAAACTTTGTGTTTTACTGTACCAAAACTTTCTTAAGCTTATTCTTCTAGTATAAAAAGGAACATTGTTTCGTTTAAATTCTTCTCAATTCTGGTTCAATTTTTTTTATTAAATTTTAGTCTTTCCAAGCACTTAAGAACCTCCAGATCATTAATTTCCACATCTTATTTATTTAATCTTCTTCATTTCAATTATTGCCGAAAAGGCCAATTTTTGTGTGATATCTTTATCGTCACTTATTTTATTTACACAATAATGAACCACAAACTGTTCCCGCGATTCGGAACCCGTTCGAATATGTGATAGAATTTTGCAGTGTACATTTTTGTATTTAATTCTTGTTAATAAACGGCTATAGGTTAATGAATACTTATCACACGATGCATTTCTTAAGGATAGAAAGTTGCAAATTGCTTTTATTTTAATTTTCCAATTAAGATCATCGATGCCTCCTGCCAACGGTCGGCACGTGTGAATTATATTGTAAGCGGTATTGAAAACTTGAGTTGACGTCAGGCAAGGCGGACGGCCTTGCCTGACGTCAACTCAAGTTTGGAAAGAGCCAGATCTGAAACAACTATCTGATTCACACAAATATCACGTGTAAGAAATGAATCCGCTACCCCCGGCGCCGAAGCCAATACTTTAACAACTCTGTCTTATAATATGATGACGCTTTAATTTTATGCAAGCTACCCACCGTGACCTGATCACGGCAAATACTCAGTGAAACTGCGAATAAGGATAATGTCAAGTAAACTACTAATATGATACGCATATATATTTGATGTTACCTATTGCTAGTTGGTTTATACAGAGTAATTTGAGAGGTCATGAATTAATGCCTCTTGAGGAACCCGTGCCGTGTGCATGATATTCGTTGATAAAACCAATTTACTTCAATAGATAAAAGAAGCAAAAAAAAACGGGAGTTGTAGAAAACATCACAGTGATGATTTTCAGTACATATTCATAGGTTAAAATTCATAGGTACCGAGAATAGTTCAATTATTTATCGGAAAAGCAAGGGATTCCTATCCTATCACAGTTTAAAAATGAAACTACTAATGAGATTTTTTTTACGTTGCGATAGATGGCGCTACCAGTATGGCTTTTAACATTTCTCAGCAGTCACCTGACCTAGACGACTAGTCAAATTTTCTAAAAAAAAAGAGCTCAAGTTAAAAGGCTAATAACATCCTTGTTTATACTGGGATGAGTATATGTGTATGCTAAATAATTTATGTTTCCCAACAGGACAAAGACGTTTAACAGTGGCGCGAACTTTGCATACTTTTGAAATACAGTTTTGATACTACGTTTTCTTTCAGAAACGCAGAAAAACGAACTTGTTACTTCATCGCCGAACGCGTAAAGATCTGCATCTAAAATGTCATATCAGGATAGAACATACTTTTACACATGGTCCCATCTAGTCCCAAACGAAATAAAGCTAGTTCAATGAGTACTAGGTAACTCATAAACGTACTGTTATTTTGTAAAAAATAATGAAGAAATTTCAAATTTTGTACGGTACTATATTCATCATACAATATTGTGAAGATCGAACTCACACCAACGCAATGAATGAAGCTCCGGGACTTAAAATGAGGACACTGAACTGACATAGATAAAAGTGTAATAGTTATTTCTAATAAAGTAAGCATTATATGACATAAATAAATACCTACTATTTTTTGAAGATCTTGTTTTCCTTCATCACCCTCTTTAATCCATATTAAACCCATTAGATAAGGTATAATTTGAAATTTTATAAATTAATACTTTTTGCCAGAAAACTTGTAAAAGTTAACCTCTAACTTGTTTTTGTTAGAAAAATTAGTCATCGTTCTCGAGGTCGGCGATATCGATGCACGTGATGTCATCATTGTCATGTTAACATTAAATATTACACATCAGATAAAAGTATTTACATTGCTAAGATGTTTTTGGAACTTACGGCACAATCTTGATAAAATATGAAGATAAGCTACGCTAATTTTGATCAAAATAGAATAATAATTTTGAACAAAAAAAAACCGACTTCAAAGAGGAAACTAAAAACATTGTCAACACCTATAAAATTTGAGGATTGCCCTCGATTTCTCTGGGATGCCGTCATCAGATCCGTTTCCTTATCGTGGTACCACCCTTGGGATACCTCCTTTCCAACAAAAAAAGAATCATCAAAATTGGTTCATAAACGTCGAAGTTATCCGCGAAAAAAAAACATAAAAAAATGTATACGGTCGAATTGAGAAACTTCCTTCTTTTTTGAAATCGGTTAAAAATTACTCACGCAATATTTTTAAGATCACGCATACCTTAATCTTCTCACATCTACAAACCAATTTGGCATATTAGTCAATACGAATAGTAGATTAATTATTGCATTTGCGCTACCCGGAAACTGAGAAAATTGTGCACAATTGTTTGTCACTTCCTATACCAACTATTACGTGTTACCTGTAAGTTTTTTAAAGTACTCTCGATTAAATAAGTACCTGTATCAACATGCAAAAATCTCTAAAAAAATCAAACAAAAAAAGGAGAAAATTATTATAGCAAGGACGAAGGAAAGAGAACTAACAGTCAACTTGAGTCTAGATAGAGTTGAATTAGTTAGTGACTATTTTCCCCTTACCTTAGGCTTACTGTAAATATTGTGTTTTGGAGTTATTAATTACTATTAATAACTCCAAAACGCAATAAATAATTGTAAAGGCAGTTCCCTATATTCTCATCGAATAATACGTAGTTATTTTCTTTTTAATAACTCGGTGCTTTGACTAAAGCGTACAATGTAAAAATTCTATAGTGTTTAAATCATTTTGTCAAAATGGTGGAGTCAATATGGTGATTATGAATTCGGTAAGTAATATAATTCTTGCATTATTAAAATTTTTTAACGGAACGAGATTGAAAGTAAAACGATTTTCAAGCCTGGCTATATTTAAAATTAATAGAAAATGAACGAAAAATTGTTCTCCGCTAAGAGGATTTGAACCT